CGCTCACTTAAAACGCTGTAATTTAATACGGAATACATCAGCAATGTGACATTTGCAGCATGGAAGAAGTGGAGGTTGGGAAGATTCTGCTGATGCTAATAATAGCAATTGTACACCAATGACTGGGGTTTTTGTTACCAGAGGCATTCTGTTAGTGCCACGATCCTTCCAAAAGAAGCGGTGGGAAGTCCGACGTGGGATTTTGGGATTGCTTTTTATTTTGTCCTCTCTGAAGGCTCAAAAATTTTGGATTGTATTTCAAGTGACAATCCAGGCCAAGTTTAGAGAAAAGGTCAGCAATAAGGATGCACCAATATGGGAATTCTGGGCCGATGCCAATATCTGATATTTTTCATGTACAATGCTGGCAGTGTACAATGTTTACTCTAGCAGTGCTGATGCCATTACAAACAAAATCTGGAAATTAGGAATAAATTAACTTTTGGAGTTAATAGTGCGGTTTAGCCAGTATTTCAGTTATGGCCTGTACCACCCGTTAGCTAGGACTCCCCTATCACAGGATAATACCAAACTGGGAGGGTGAAAGCTAATACGTACTTCACATGAAGCACAATGTCATTGGACAGGTCAGTGAACTTGGAGGAGAATGCTAACTGCCAATTCTGTTATGTCAGCTAACACACACCTGCGTTGGCTAGCAGAGAGTGAGAGAAAGGCAGGTTTTGCGTTCTTGGACTCCCAGCCACAGGTGGCTGTGGCATCGCAGGCAATCAAACATGCAAGACATTTCAGCTAAGAACCCAACGTCGCCCAAACGTTCTGCTCTTCTGGACTCACTGGTTCGAATTATCAGTCAAGTCAGTAAACGTTATAAGTCAAGTCGGCAAACATCAGTTTGATGCCAATAAATGTTTCTCAGAACGAGAAGGCACGTCTGGGAACAACTTGTTAAACTTTTGATGCTGGATTGGGGTGAAATCTGCTGCCAACACAAGTATGCTATCTCTAAAACCTTTCCAAAATTCTGCTCTTTTAACATCTTGAGTACAACTCATAACGTAAGACATTTTGAATGTTCTGGGGGGACTTTTTTATAACTTGCATTATATCGATGGACTAATGACAGGCCTTTTATCCATCAATCTGCCCCTACTTTCAGCACCACCTTCACAAGGCTGGTTTAGAAATTTCAGTTTACTTTTTACCCTAATAAGTCTATGTTTCCATCCACATTTAGCCCAAAGTTTCTTATGTCACCAGACTTTCTGTTACAACACCACATCTGGGCCCATGAGACTACCACTCATATAGCCTATTATTATCACTAACATGTATAAAGGTATTTTAAAAAAGACTGAAATAAGAAGAGTAGAGAAAAGATCACGGAAAACTGCGTAAAATTAAATTTCTAGTTTGCTTCATCCTTAAAAGATCTCTGCCTTTTAATACCATCTTAGGTTCAGATCACTCAGCATTTTGTGCGAGCAAGCACATTACAACACACCCGAATCCTTGCTTCAATAAACGCTTTAATGACCGAGCACCGCTCCAGCAAGGCGAGAAGACGTGGTTAGTTCTCCAGGCATCAAACATTTTACTTATTCCACAGTCATTAAGAGCAGGGCTGGAGGATACAGTGAGCTTGGTGTAATTACACAGGTAGCGCAAAACGGAGGCAGTTGCTAGTGGTATTCATCGTCTTAATTAAGGCATAAACTGTAAACGCTCAGAGCTAAAAGCAGCTCTGTTGACTTAGGAGTATGGTGTCTTATCAGTGTGGGCTGTTCTGCGCTTGTCGCTTCCATCCAGCGCAGACACACGGGAGAGCACTGCATTTGCATGTGTGAGTGGAAAAAGGAAGCCACAGAGAAATGTGGAAAGAGGCAAAGAGGCCTGTTTGCACCGACTGCTCAGTCTGTGTCAGTCTCAGGCCACCATTTCCCTCTCCACCTCCCTCCCTCTTTCTCCTCCCTCCTTTTGTTTCTCTCTGGGCCTCTGGCATGCTTCAGGTGCTGCACGCACGGTTCTATATGATTTGTCTAATTTGCAAGCCTTGGCGAGGGCCGCACCTGTTGCCCCGCCACTGCCTGCAGTCGTGGGTTCTCAACAGGCTTGACAAGCAGGCCTGGATAATCCATTCTGCTCACAATAGCATGGCCACTCTCCCCAGCAGTGTAGGGACAAGGGCATTTTTCTCTCGCCCAGGCGCTCATATCCGCCATGCCACTGATGGCTCATTACAGGCCAATTCATAAATATTGTCTCCAGTATTACCACTTCCAGGCCCTCTCGGCTCCTCTGAGATTTATTCCCCTCTTTTACAGCCTGCTATTGTTTTTTTCCCCCACTCTTTTCTGTTTTTCAGTCCCCCTCCCCTTCCGCCTCCACCTCCTCCGCCTCCTCCTCCTCGTTTACCTCTCCTCAGCCCTCCTGGTAGCTTTTTCACCAAGCTGCCAATAACGAAGGCCCCTCACAGCTCTGGCCACTGGAGGCCCAGAAAACTCCCCACATGAGCACAGCAGGCTCAAATTTGTTCCATTTAAAGTTGAAACAGGGCCAGGGGAACATCAAGTGCCCCTGGGCCCGAAAGGGATGGGAAATGCGATCCTGTACATTTGTTGAGAATTTATATAACAAGTGATGACAAAGTGCTTCATGGCATTGCAGGCCTCGAGGGTGGCTACCATTAAGGTGTGGCCTGCTGCGACCTTGGCTGGGCGAGTGCAATCATTTGCACCTTCATAGTTTCTGTGCTGCTTCAACGCAAAGCAGTGCAGCACTTTCAGACTGTCTGACAAACAGATAAGCTTTTAATGTGAAATTAAGCCCACCACTCCTTGACAAGCAACAACAGCTTTTACTGAATATAAACAAATTCTTTTGCTGCTATGCCACTAGCTGCCAAATGCAAGTTGTGGGGGTGGGGGGGGGGTGTAGGCAGAGGATATAAATATCTTTACCAGCTTCAAACTGATAAACTGCCATGTCATGCGAAGAAGTGGAAATGCCAGTTTCCAACAGATTGAGGCCAAGCAAAACATAGAACGAGGACGGCACGCTCAGAGCTGAAGCGCAAGTGCGTCCTGTGGTGTCCGATACCATCTGTCCACCGGTGGATTCCCTTTGAGTGAAGGACACCCAGTGGTGTTCCACAAGCCTGGATCCATATGAGCATAAGATCAAACAGGCTCCCTCCCAAATTGCCAGGCCTCCATGTGCTGCCGCTCGTGCTATTGGAGGGGGAAGGAGGAAGCGTGCTGGTCTATTCCATCTCTGCAGTATTAGCCTTAACCTTTTTTATGCAAAGCTGGGTGAACATGGAGAGGATTTCCTTGCTGTATTACAGGGTCTGTTTTCATGAGAGCGGAAAAACACACCATGTCCCTTAGAGGTGTGGAGAATATTTGCAAATACATGAATCTGCTCAAAAATATTTTGGTCCCACTGTTGGAAAAGATGGAAGAATAACACCTTTTATTTCTGAGAGCGCAGACACAAAAAGTCCAAGCTAGCCTTGATAAACCTGGAACAGTCATATGCTGTAAAGGAATCACATTTGGTTCCCTAAAGCAGTGGTTCTCAAACCAGATCCAAATTTTGTTTGACTGACTATCAACACGGGGATACAGAAAATTGTGGAGGCCTTGAGGACCAGTTTGAGATCCACTGCCCTAAAAACCTTGGAAAGGATTTCACCTTAAGCTCAAATTGGCATTTCAGTGCTTGGCCCCCTAGTCATTACTAAAAGCCACACAGATTAGCGCTGTTTAGCAGAATCCTCTGATATGTAGGTCATAAGTAAAACAGAGTGTCCAGTGAAGGACTCCAGCGGAAGTGTCTCTGTGGTAATCCCTCCATAAGGACCCGGTGCTGTGAGCATAGTCCTTCAGCGCCGGCCCTCCTGGGGCAGGAAGAGCTAACAACCCTCCCATTGATCCAAGAAGACACTCAGCCTTCTAACCTGCTGAGTGCTCAGTTCAGGAGAACAATGGAGTTCAGGCCATATCAATACACTCCCCTATTGAGTGGTCCCCGTTTAGCACAGCTCCACTGATGAGGTTAAAGCTCCTACCTCTGGCAAAAGCCAGCCAGACACCTCACATATCTAAATAAAGCTTCCCTCCTGCACAGTAGCCAGATATAGCAGCTTCGGGCGCGCTTATCTGCTTTAGCTTTTTAACATCTTCCTCTGTTTAAGTGTTCGGCGAGATGTGGACCAGCCCAGACCTCCAACTACACGGCCCCCCTCTCTCAAACGAAGATAAGAATTGGAGATTAGGAACACAGGAGGCTTTCTGGACAGGAATGCACTGCTGCTCCCATAAGACACTAAATGATGTACAAGTGCATTTATTACAGCAGCCTCTATAAATCTGAGCCTGGCCTGAACTCCAGGGAGAGGTTAATGGATTACAAAGGGATGCGGTATCGAACCTTCAAGAAGTTTATACACCACATCAATATGTGCAATGCTATTGATCATTTAGACCTTGACAGACAAATTAAATTCATAAACTTGATAATGCACTGGAATATTCGTATTGCTTACGATAGTGGAATGTGCATTTTTTTTAAGAATGCTGTTTTAGGATCACAGTTTATCGATTGAACCCACTTAATAGAGACCCCATTGAAAACAGTAAGAAGAGTGCTGATCCTGTGTAAAATTTAGAGTGAAGCGCCAAAGTCCCCATTAAAACCCATGAGGCAAATGGACCTTCACATGAAATTCAATTCTGGGATCGGTGAACATCTTGTTCTCAGTGCTGCCTTACAAAGTGACACGCATTATTCTAACTTTCAGTTTTTTTCCCCTCAAACCCATCTAAAGCACATATTCAGACATTAAAGATTCATGAATACTAATGTGCAGTCCACAGCAAAGTTTTTTATATGTACAGTATGCTATGTGAGGAGATATTACAGTAGTTCTAATGGTGATCTGTACAGGTACTAAAACTGATGCTCTTACAAAAGGATGATCAATTAAAGCTTTGCATTATCTGCAGCATTAAGTCAAACAAGAAAACAACTGTTAATCTGGTGTTAAATCAAATTTATTACAAATATTTACATTTTCTCTGATATCAGAATTCATCGTCATACTAACATATATACTTTCATTGGGGGCCCTACAGTAAGACTTCTGGGGGGGGGGAGGCCAGATGTCAGATTTTAGAAAGATTATCTAGTCTACTAGAGAGTCAGTTCCAACACACATCAATACCCATATATAAATGTTCACTCAAATACAAACACATACGTGTGCACACACGTTGATGGCCACTAACGTCCAGGCCTTTCCGTTCCCCCGTATCAGTCAGTTTCAACTGCTCAGATAAATTAACCTCAAGTTAAAGGAATACTCCAATGTTTTTCAATCTGATTTACAGAAGGGAACCCACAGGGTCTTCTAGGACTTCAGAGAAAGCCTAATGAAAGTCAAATTTCTAGTTCATTTTTATTTAATATAATGATCGTTGTCTTGAAAGGCCCAAAAAATGACAATTTTATGCAATGCTAAATGTCCAAATAAGAAATATTGTCGCAATTATACCTCCGATATTAATGATTAGTTTTTATTATTAGCTTGTAAGATAATTATAACACAAAAACTACTTAACAACAAAGTATAGCTCAGTTGATTACAATGGAAGCGTTTTGTTTTTGTTGCTTGCTTGGGTCGTTTGCTGTCAGTTTTTTTCAGAAGGCTTGATCCTTGTAATAAAGTTCTGGCTGATTGTTGTGGCTACGATACATGTGAACACAGCGGATTGAAACCTACTCGGAATGCCATTATCAGGAGATGCCGACACTCACATCACATTTCGAGGTCGGAGCGAACTGTGGCATAATCTAAATTTTGATCTAGGTAGATACCATGAGCTCTTTCACTGGTTATGGCTTCGAAGCTAAAGTCTTAACGTGTCAGAGTAACCAGCAACATAATTAGGTTAACTGACCATGAAAATAACTGAAGATGTTTCGATTTTCAATGTGTGGGATTAATTTTGTGAGAAAAAATTCTCAAGGCCTTCTGGAAGTCCTAGATACATCAATGTTAGCGAGCATGAGTGGTAGCCTGACCAACGTTTCAGTCAGGTGTTAGAAATTAAAAACAGTGGCAGCAGCTCTATGCCTGGGCTCTTTACTAAAAGTGGTACGATAATGAGAAAACATCATGTGAAATATGTTGATATGTCTGTTACAAGCTTCAAATAAAACTTGGAATATCTTTTTCCCAGCTTCAAATGTCCATGCTTCATCTCAAACAGCCAAAAAGAGTTCATGTAAATCGCTCTAAGCAGAGTGCTAACATACTACAAGAATCCCATAGAGAAGCTAACAGAAATCAGCATTAGTATAGAGGTGGTTTTCCCTCCTCATCTTTTGACCAGGTTTTGACTTTGGCTCTAATAGTCAAGGGTTGTCACTGCTAATCTGCTACATCTGTAGTACATATAATTACTACAAAAGTTTCCGTTTACTAAAAGACCAGAAAACTTGATGACTCAAAACACACTTACAGTGGAAACCAATGTATTATGAGAACACAGTGAATAGAGATTAGGTTGAAAATCAGTGAAGTATTCCTTTAATATCTTATTTTTTCCCCATTTTTGATAATTATTTTAAAACTCATAACCCTGTATTACAGTAAATGATGCGTACATGTTCTTATTCTCTACAATATAACATGAATAGCTTTTCTTAGTGTATGTCAGCTGTAATCTAGACAGTAAGGATCCTCCATAGTGTAGAGGCACAGCGATCGCTGCCACAAACGCTTCACCTGCTTGGGCCATAATCATGTTACTCTGAAGGCCATTTGTTAAAAGTGAAAATGTCAGAGTGGAGCTGACACTCTAATTCTCTCTCCGGGATCTTTCTCGCCTTTTTTCTCGTCAGCTGGCGAGTGAGTAATTCCATTAGTTAAGTATTCATACGTTACTCTCCATTTGCATCAGGGGTGTTTTTTCCGTTTTTTTTCTTTTCTCTCCCTCAGGACTTGAGAAAGAAAAGCCCCACAAAGAGAGAAGCACAACTGTCAGCACCTCTGCTGAAGCATCCATTGTTTTACATGGTTTAATTACAAAAACCCCGGCACCGTTTCATGTTAAGATTATTCACTGTAGGAGGCCGGTATAATTTGGACTGGAGGCTTTGTCATGTAATATAATACAATAGAATGGGCTTTGAGTATTAGATTTCCGATTTTAGCCTCCTTGACATTTCAAGCTGCATGAACTAATACATCTGTTATTTGTTGATCATTTGATTATTAACATACTTCATAAACCAAATCAGCTGCCCTGCTGGAGACGCAAGAGATGCAACTGAGCAGGCAGAGCACTTTATGTTTTTGCCATCTCTCACTCTCTTTCAGTCCCTCCCTCCCTCTCTTGCTCACTCACACACAGAGAGCATTAAAAACAGTGTTTATTTGCCTCTTCAGTGCTCTCCAATTCTCAGCACCACCAGGCAGCAAAACCCATCATCACTTTAATCGGAAATTACAAGGACTTGTTCTTCCACAGACGTATGAGCTGCTGCGCCACGTTCTGCTGAGAGTGCACGGCGAACAAGAACAGTCCAGACAAGAGCTCATCCACCAGGATCGCAGAAGACACGGAGGATGGGTCTTTCTCTGTGGTTGCATATGACGCAGCACATGCACACATAATCAGGTCATGTGAACCACAAACTACACTCAAAACAAAAGTGGAACAATGCGATTCTTTGGTGTCCATGATTTGTTGCTTAGGCCCTTGTTTGCAATTAAATACAGTAACTTTTAACTGGTAGATACACAGTATGTTTATAGTAGGTTGACTTCTGTATATAATTAGAAACTACAGTCACTAATGTTGTGTGAATAGACTAGTATTTATGAGATGTCTGGGCACAGAATGGTTGATAAAGGTTAGACTGAAAAAAGATCGCAATTTTGTCATCATCTAGCTCACACTGCTCATTACTGTGCTTGCCTGGACATGCAAGAATGTTTGCGCTGTTACTTGAGTTCATATGAAAGAAAAATTCACATCACGAGAATACGAAACACAACGATGACCTGTTGCTTGTTTCACAGTGCTACGCAGACTGCATAAAGGGAGCGATGCCGCAACTCAATTATAGAAAGGGTTGTGTGATGGAAGGATTAAACTAAAGCAGACAGAGACATTAGAGCTTGGCCTAATCCACCTCGCTCTCGTTGCTGGCCCCTTCAGGACGGCGCAACTTTTCCACCTGCTCATTAAACTGTCCGTCCCCTCCTCTTCTGTCCTCTGTCTGGACACTCAGGTGCTCCTCTTCATCCACGTGAGTCACATCATCGTCCTCCTCCTCCTCCTCATCCTCCTCTTCTTCCTTTCTCTCCTCTTCCCCCTGCACTTCCATACGTACCTGGTCCTTTAGGTCTAGAGGCAGCATGGCCCCTAGTCCTGCCTCTCCGTTCAGGCTGTGTGCGCTGGATGGAGTCACCTGTGAGCTGTGGCCCTCTTTGACAGGCGAGGAGCTGGCTGACTCGTTGCTGACCGGCGAGATGTCGCTGCTGCTGTTGGTGTGGTTGACCGATGGGGGGTTGGACAGTGTGCCTGGCTTTAGAGGAATCTGCCAGGCTGGGATTTTGGGGAGTGAAGGAGAGGCAGGGAACTGTCTCCTGTAAGAAAGAGAGATTTGTTATAACCCAGTTTGGATGTCCCTTCTCAAATATCTCTGAGGGTGGGTGAGGTCCAATGTCATATTGGGGCTTCTGATAACCAATTTTAACCTGCATTTGTCTCCACTTTACTCCTTCTTTCTACTTTTAGCACCTAAAAACAGGTTGTTTAAACAAGTTGGTACTCTAAGTCACTGGCGGCAACAAGGTCCACTGAGGCAAAAGAATGCACTAGAATGCAGCATTTCAAAAAGCAGTTGTACATTTGTGCCAATGTGACAACATTTCCACCTCTGTGCTTTGCAGCAGCATTAGTGCAGTTTGGTTGGAATTCTTCTCTAGAATTCTTTCTCCCCACAAAGAGTAAGTTTGAAGTTTTTAATATCGATCTTTTGAACATTTTATGAAGAACCTAAAGAACTGCATTGAAGTTTATCAATGTCTGCAAATGAGTGTGCAAATACAACCCCATTTCAATAAAAGTTGGGACAAAAAATGTAAATAAAAAACATGGAATGATGTGCAAATCATTTAACTGAAAACAGTACAAAGACAACATATCAAACGTTTAAAATTAAAAAAATATATGCCCATTTTGAATTTGATGCCAGCAATACATTAAAAAAAAGTCGGGACTGGGCAACGAAAGACTGGTAAAGGTGTGTAATGCTAAAAAAGACACCTGGTATAACATCTTACAACTAATTCGGCTAGTTGGGAAGAGGTCAATAACATGACAGGGTATAAAAAGAGCATCTTTCAGAAGTAAAGATGGGGGGTTCATCATCCTACTGCAAGGGAAAATAGTGCATCAATTCTAGAATAACGTTTCGCAATGTAAAATAGCAAAGAAATTGTGAATTTCATCATCTACATAACATAATTAAAAGACTCAGAGAATCCAAAAGAATCTCGGTATGCGAGGGATAAGGTTGTGGCTGTGGTCTTCGGGCCCTCAGGAGGCACTGCATTAAAAACAGACACAATTCTGTAGCAGAAATGACTGCATGGGCTGAGGAACACAGAGGAAAACCACTGTCTGAGAACACAGTTCATCACTGCATCCACACAGTTAAAACTATCGTGCAAAAACAAAACAAAACAAAAAAAACAACTTATATAATAAAATAATAATTTATATATAATATATACAGGATCCAGAACACTTTTAATGCTAAATGATATATACAGGTTTTGGAGCAACATACGCTGTCATCCAGATGACGTCTTTTACAGGGAAGGCCTTGCTTATTTCAGCAAGACAACGTCAAACCACATTCTGCATGTTTTACAACAGCATGACTCTGTAGTAAAAGAGCCCGGGTGCTAAACTGGCCTGCCTGCAGTCCAAACCTGTCACCACTGAAAACATTTGGCACATTATGAAGCGACAAATATGACAAAGGAGACCCTGAACTATTGAGCAGCTGAAATCCTATATCAAACAAGAATGGGAAAATTTCACTTTCAAAACTACAGCAGTTGGTCTCCTCAGTTCCCAAACGCTTACAGATTGTTGTTAAAAGAAGAGGTGATGCAACACAGTGGTAAACATGCCCTGTCTCTACTTTTTTTAAAACGTGTTGCTGGCTTCAAATTCAAAATGGGCGTATATTTTTCAAAAACAACAATTCTCATTTTTGCCCAAAACTTTCAGGCCCGATAAAAGCTGTAGACCGTAAAGATGTATTTTAAATAAGCTGTAGGTTATAAAATTGCTGGTTAAACATGTTTCCTTTTTTGTCATTTTTAATTCTTTTTTTTTGTTAATTAGTAGAAAGAAAATAGTATATATTCCAAATTTGTTTGTTCCACCTAACGTGGAATCCTTGTCATTTAATGCTAAATAAACAAATGGATGTTTTTGCTTCATTATGAAAATACATCACAAACCAGATCAGCCACCATGATGGAGACTGCAGAGATGCCACAGTTACTCCGGGAAATCCCGGGACCTTTCATATGCTTTGATAGCTTAAAAGAAGATTCACATTTATGGTATATCCGAATATTCCTGAAGATAATCATGATGGCTGATCGTAAGTTAAGAACCTTGGGAATCACCCGAAACTTTCAAATTGAGTAGAAAGTGATAAAATTACAGAGCGTGGGATTTCCCGGAGTTACGTTTGCTACCACATTTAAGTGGCTTAGGAAACAAACAATGACGTAATAGTCAAGTCATTTGTTATATGGGCTAGAGTTTTGTCACAGAGTTCATTTTTGGGCTTCTCAATGTTCATAACATAAGAACAGCAAGCACTTAGCGAAAAAGCCCACAAAGTGAACTAATCAATGTTTCTGCAGACTATCCACAGAATTCTGGCTAAATTCCTCCAAAACAACTTCATACCGAAAGAAAAATCTATTCAGTCCATGTGTATTAATTTGGACAGCACTGATGAGTCTCCTCCTATAACAGAGCACATTATTCAGATTTTTTACTTCAATAGAACACAGGTTCAGTTACTGGTGCAAAGAAATTTCACTGGATGCTTTGCAGACCTGTAGGATGTATGCAATTATGAGAGATTACAGCTTTAGCCACGTCTCCCACACCTGGCAGAGATGCAAGTACAACGACAACAAAAATCTCTTCAAGCCGTCTTCAAACCAAAGATACAGCTACTTCTACAAAGACATCAAATAGTTCCTTCCAGATATCTGAATAGCCAGAGAGACAACCTTAGCAGCAGATGGTGAGACCACGTTTGTATGTAATGCTAACCTCTTTCAAAAAGACGTCTTGTCAAAGTCAGACAGACATTTGTTCAATTAAGAACCAAGAAAATGAACAAAAAAGCACTCAGAGATTAAAATGAAAGATTAGACAAACTGAGAGCTTTAATGTGTGAGAATTTCAGGTATATGAGATTACTTTGGTCTTTATTTGCATGACACATAATCAAGTAACCATAAATGAAAGCGAGAAAGCTTCATATTTAAGTACCGGAGGAACCTGCTGGAAACATCAGGCCTCATTAAGCAGTAAAAGCCACTTCCGCTGACGTGCCCCACTGCAGAGAAGGATGGTACACGTCAAATTCTTTGACATTATCCACTGATAAATGACTGTGGTGCATACAATGTGTTCTGTATGGTGGTGGCAGTGGTCAGGGAACCTCTGTCCTGCACAATTTGGTGTTTTCCCTTCTCTAACACTTCTCTTCAAATCACGAAGGGAAAATACACAGAGTAGGGTTACTCCAGGACCAAGGTTTGACCCTGTTTAAAATACAAAATGTTTCGGCCCAGTTTTTCTGCACCCCTCACTCACCACCTCCCTAATCCAATCCGTGTACCATATCATTACGTGTATGTCGGCAAAGTCCTTATCATCCAATTTTAAATCCAGTGTCTCCCCCTTTACAGTGCTTCTGGTATTGACTGATACTGATCTGATCTTTGTAATTTCTGTAACACAGCCATATAACGTAGCTACGATATGCTAGTCTCTACCAATGACACTCCAGTAAAACCACTTCATTTTTAGTGTTATTCTACGACTTACTTCTTGCATTCTGTTTTAAATGACCATTTTTAAGTGTGTTTAATGTTGGTTTATGATTAAATTGTGACCTCCCTGATGACAATGCTACCAGTTCCTTTCTGCAGTGTATTTTTTTTGCCCATGACATTGAGAAAAGACTATGATATGCTATTCCTCCCTTCCTCATGGTTCTATTTCTCCTAATGATGGTTTAAAACCAGAAGCAGGATTCCCGGTAAAGCAGAAAGTTTCTGTGATAAGTCTATTTTCTACCAGTTAAAACCGAAAGTAGACTCGAAGCGTAATAGCCACTCACTCACATTTCACTTGCCGGAGTTCAGAAGAAACAGTGCTAGATCAAAGACAGTCAAAACAGTGGCACCACAGACATATGTTTTCAAATTACACAGGAAAATAGCTACACAGAGCAGACTTTTAGATCATTTTATTGATAATGCACTTTGAGAATGCAAAAACTAGGGCAATATGACTATTTTCATAACGCTTTAGCCCTTATTTGGATAGCTTTACACAGGGAGGTGGGGAGATGTCATTCACAGCCCATCCACCTCTACTTACTGTTTTTTTCTAACCTTTCCTCCATCCAAAACAAGCTGTTTGCAGCTGTCAGTACAGCAGATTGAAGATGAAATTCGGCAAGAACAGCAATGCTACAAGAATAATTATTGTAGAGCTTCAGCAGACGTGAGATTGTGACTTCATAATCACTGCTTGAAAAAGTCCAGTTGTTAGTGTTGAAATCTGTGTCCAGAAAATAAACTGCCAGTTGAACAGCACTGTTTGCTCTGAACAGACTCGCCTGAAGTTTTTTACACATTAGATTCTCTTTATAACAGGCTATATTCTGCCCTCACTAGCATACTGGACAGGTAGCAGAAAGCTAGCTGGCTATCAGGCTAATGCTACAACAATAAAAGACTAAGTTTAAGCCTTTAAATAAAACACACAAAGTAAAGAATGTTACTTACATTTCTGTTATGAGCTAAAAGCATTTTACAATGACAGCATCACAATGCTGGCTCAACTCTGTCAGCCATCAACTGATGATTACATCGACTATCGGCCCAACCTAATGCACTGTCATTAGTATCACCATTAGCTTGGGAATTCACAGCCAACACTGAACAGCATAAAATTAAAAGTTTTTCTGTAATTTTTTAGTTCAAGTGATGTAAGACAGTAACGTTACATAACGGCTTGATAGTACCTACAGAGAGCAAACCTAAACGCTACTTAAAGTGCCTCTGTTCTTAATAAATCCTGTCAGAATAGGGCTCATCACACCTACATAAGCCCTTCATGACAACTGACAAAAGCCTACATGAAGATTTATAAACATTTATTCCAATAGGTATCATATGTCAAGGTTGCATATGCCAACTCTGATGTCAAGTTGACATAACATTATGTCAAGTGACACTTATTTTGTTTTTTTCTGAGATCAATTGTCATTGCACTTTCTGAGATGAAATGACAGACTTTGTAGTTCAATGTATGTCACGGTGACATAATGTTAATAATATGACATGGCTTGCCAAGTGGGCATTTTCTATGGCACTTACTAAAAGTGAGTTTTATTTTATCATTTATTAGGTATAAGCTAGGTCACATCTTAAGCATCATGCCATTGTGATACACACTAACTCAGTTGTCATAACGTGTAGTCATGTCATCCTAAGAACTGCCATGAAACAATCCAATGTTATAAAAAAAAAAAATAAAAAATCGCTGTTCCCTGACACAGAGCTTATGTCAACTTGACAAAGTTGACCAAAGCAGCCTATATGACAAATGATGCCTACTGGAGTAAAGCTTCACATATGTTTATGCAGGTTTACGTCAGTTGTCATGACAACCTTTCATAGGTCTCTTGCAGACCCTACGGTAAAGTGTTACCAAAACAAGAAACTGAGAATCAGAACCGGATCGGGCTTGATGTAGCCGTTTCTGATCCACTGGATTGGATCGGGACATTCCTGGTAGCAATCAAGAACTTGTATGGCAAAATCTGAATTGACTTGCGATTGTGGTTTACTTTTTAATTTGCCAGTCAACAGGCAATTGTTTATTTGCTGTTTACGTAAATAAATGCGGTGATAAGAAACACAGCTTGGTGGGTAAGTCAAACACATGTATTCAGCTGGCTCACATTATATTGTGTGATAAAATCAGTACACAGATCAGCCAAAATAAAAAATTACAAAATAATACCTAATTACAATCATCCACAACTAAAAACACATACCAAAGAGACCAATACTGCTGAAACTTCAACACATAAAATTTGGCGGCCTACACTGGGTGAAAATGCAGCAGTAGTGTATATTTTGTGAATGCATCATGGGAAGTAGCTGCCCTTTATCTGTTAGGCCCAGTGCAGGTGAATGGAGGGAGTGTTTACCTGCTGAGTAAAAGCCCCTTCAGAGAAGTGATCTCAGCTTTCAGTTCACTGATGCTTTGAGACTCCAGCATGCGGTTGGTGGTGGAGGAGGCCTGTAGATAAGAAGAAAAGACACATTACAAACAAATCCTTTTAGCCTTTTTCCTTTAAAATTAGTGGGATGCTGGTAAAGAGAGGTTCCCATACAATACAATGATTTGAGTTTGTTTGGACAACAGACCCAGAACTGAGTCACGCAGTTCACATTATTAGGCCATATGTAGGGAAAAACTCTGAGCATACAGCATATGCAAAACCTTTTGAGTTGCTCACTGTCCTGGTTCAAAAGGTACATTTTATCACTAACTAGATCAGTACATAGACAATACAACCATTTTGATAATAGATCTACATATTCAGTAAATGGTAGGGAAATATCTCTCCAAACTCCATCCTCAAAAAAGAGGAAAGGGTTCATGAGCTCAGGATCTTTTGAAAAAAGGCAAAGAGACTTAATCGCACCATTTTTACATATTTTTCCATATTTCCGACTGATGATTTGAGCAGGACAGAGGTGCCTGATAAGAGGTCTCAAGCACAACAATGGCAGCATTCATCAGGCAGCCACAAGTCAGAGGGGTTTTTATTAAAAGGAGCGTTATCACCTACTGCTTGGCAAGGGATGAATTGCAGCACGGAATGATGGCCAATTGAAATGGCCTGCAAACATTTGAATAGCAAATGACTTCTGAAAAAAAATCATCCATCTTTTAAATTGACAGGAGGCTGATGATGAACTGTAAAGTGCATAAACCTACTGTCTACTGCTAAGAAAGGGCCGGCAGTACAGAATTTTCATACAGTGCTTTCAGTTCCACTGTGCTTTCTCTGAGCTCTCACCACAATCACAATTTTGGAGAACAAACTCTTCTTTAATGCCCAAAGTGGGGTAGTTAACGTACCCCGACTCGAATTCAAGCGGATTAAGCGGGGCTCCTGAGCCCTGTTCAGAGTAGGAAATAAAAGTCTTGTAAACTTACACTGAGTCACAGGGGTACCTGAAGCTTTGAACCATCCACAAACAAACAGCCCCCATCCACCGCCTAATCCCCCTGTCCTCCTGCCCTCCGAGGAGAAGAGTGAGAGGTGTGGAAATGAAGCAAAAAGGGCTAGGGAAAAGAAAACTAAAAGTAATTAAGAATGCCTGACTCACCGGGGGCTGCTAGTTAGGAGGCAGAGACCCCCGTCGAGTGAAGAGGGATAACTTGGAATCTTTCACATGTAATTACATCTAAAGGAAATTAATTGAATCACATCTGAAAAGGATCAGACTCATTTACAGTATGGGGTGGGGAGGGAGGGACGGTTGAGGTTCAGGGGTTCTCTCTCCTATCTGCTCCTAAAGTGCGGTGTTTTCAGAGGGCACATCTGATCCGGGCTGAGCGCATTAGGCCTGGCGAAGACACACTTATTACAGGCCTCACCTCATTATGACCATCATAATCCCCAACTCCCCATGGCACCCACATAATAAGGGTGGAATGTGCCTCTCGCTCATTTTACCTGTGGAAAAAAATTAATTGCTTCAGTGGCTGAGCTTACACTTCCCAGACATAAAATCTAAATAACGTTTTTCAAAAAGGGGCCACAACGCACCTCACCGCAGACTGTACTTGAAGACCTGCGACAGGCCTTTTGGTTCCGATCTACAGCAGGGGTCGCGCCAACAAAAAACGAACAGAAGTGTTTGCTGACGACAACCTAACTGCCGCGAAATGCATGTCCTCAGCGAGTCAGACACCACTCCACAGGTAATCCTGCTTCTGTTCCCTTTCTGGATCACTTCCTCTACGGTAACGGTAATCCTCATGGAGAATATCGTGCCCCTCAGAGAGGCTAACACGCACACAGAACAGCAGTGAAAACACTGAATACATTAGTAAATGCCTGCAGACCATTAGCAGTGGATAATATCTTAACAAGGACAGTTTAAAAACGTCTGAATGCAAATTAACTCGCAGCTTCTCTCCCTGATAATATTTTCCTCATGTAATGCATGTATATTTATGGTGGAATCAGCTTGAAATAAATCCCTCAGGAGTGTTTCCAATGAAAGCACTGGTACAATTCATTTCAGCCTGTTTATGCACTATCCCAGTGGCGAGCACTTTGGCTACAAACCGAACAGCTGCTAATCTTCCATGGGCAGCCACTAATAAGGGAAATATCTCTGATTTTATAACGGGGGTCCTGATATGAAAATTCTTTGCTAATTTAACTGAGCAATTATCTGCTGATAACAATACAAGTGTGCATATTTACTTATTAAATGGTGCATTTCTTACATTATTCTTGCACTGCATATTTGTAAAAAAAAGTACTGTGCAAAAGTCAGAAACCACCCTTATAATCTGTTTGTTTATTTAATAATTTTTTAAACTCAGAATACATACTGAACAGACAATTACACAAAATTGTCAGCATTTAGTGTGTCCACTATTTGCCTTTATTACAGCTTCCACTCTTTTCAGTAGACATACTTTGTCATTTTAAAGAAATCTGAAGGGTTTTCCACATCACGAAGTTATTACAAGTTATCTTCAAAGGTCATAAAAGTTGTGTGCATTTTCTGCTTCTCACAAGCCAAATAATTCTAAACATATTCAAGGTAGAAGACAGTACTTATACCAGTGAATTAATAATTATCTTAGAGCTGAAAACTGGCATACTGAAAATCCTGTGTGCACTCTCCATCCCCCCCCCCTTTTTTTTGATTGGTTATCCCATCAAAAGTGACACGTGACGAGCAGTGCTTATTTGTTTAAGCTGAGCATTTTCCAACTCAATCTGGGACAGAAAAAACACAAAACCACAGTGGAACAAGCGGAGCCTGAGCAATCCGCATCATGCCGAAGGATATAATGCCGTTTTAAGAGGTACAAGCTCTGCCGTCTGAACACAGCCTTGAGCAAGTGCATTATCTAATCTCCTCAGAAATATCTCCTTTAGCCATTTAAAGGCCCATTAGAAAGAAATCTGTAAGGCATCTAAGGTGAGTTAGGGTCAGCGGCGCCTTTAGGAACAGCATTTGTTGGGAGGATTCAGCTGTAACTGGCTGGTTTTAAGACAGTAGATGCACAAAAGTAAAGAGTGGACAAATTAAACACTGATAGATTAGATTATATACTTAGGTTTGGAGGCTGTTCTGTAACTTTCTGTTAAATGTATGTGTCCAGCTTTATTAAACACTGAAAAATGAATAACTTTATAGTAATTTTGACTGGAAATTAAACAAACGAAAGGGTGGCCTCTGACACCTGTTCTGAGTGCTTGCTCTGTATTGCACTTCATTCAAGCAGTCCAGGCTGCAACACTCCCTACAACTTCAGCTTATGACTTACAGCAAAACTGTTGCAGGATGAATATACGTAAATGACCGGAATTCAGAACATTCTATTTCTGTAGCTTGATGTCCATACATGGACTGTGGAATGAACTGTGCATTTTGAGCCTTAATAATGATGTTCAGCACTTTTAGAGTAAGAAAAGGTCTGTTTGCCATGACGGGAGCCTTTAAGGCCAATTTAGCAATACGCCCCCACTGTAGAGCCGAGAACGTGCCAAATTCAAAATGATTTCTGACACATCATTACGGTATAATACCATAATATAGTTGAAAAAAACCTCAGCTTGTTAAAGAGTGCAAACTGTAATCCAATGTTTGAAAGTGTATGAAATGTTTGCTTAGCAGCTGAAGAAACAAGAATTGCCATATGTTTTAGGTTAAAAGCACATTTCCGTGTTAAAGAGTTTTAATTGCCAAGGCTGCCACATTCTGCTCAGCGTAGAGAAGCCCAGAAAGGCAGGCCAGAAAACCGCAAAGTAAAATGATAACTAGCTCAGCGGCTCAACATGTGTTCTTAATCACACGCTCCGGACCTGAAAACAATTTTCACAATTTCCCATATGGCTGGAGACAACAGGGCCCGCTTCTCGCGAAAGAAAATTTAAGATCAACACTTCAGCTATAAAGCAGAGTTTATGATTTGTTTAATGGATGTTTTGATGTGAAATATACTTTTTATACACTGCTGTCTTCCAACAAGGCACTCACGGTAAATGACGGCAACGCTTTTAATTCAATTTAGATTTTTAACAGGAATCTATTTCTGCCTCTATTTGGCTTCAGACGGCTGGCACACGTGCTGTTTGAAAGTGCAGAGTGCTTATGGATGGAGAGTGCTTAGCTCAGTGGCAGTTCAGCTTATACACACTGGCCAAGCCAGTTCAGGGTGTCCAGAGACAAACCTTAGGAGGAGATGAGAGGTCACTAAGATGAGAAAAAAATAAGAGAAGTGGTGACTCTGCAGTTGTGATGAACTTCAGAGGGGTGAGAGGTTCATATTTTTCAGTCGGATTTGTACAGGGCCAGATGCGTTCGCATATGTTTTCCTGTGGGATCCAGATGCTACATTCAAACACCCATGTGCTTAACAAGCTGTGGACATAAAACATCGGCTCAGTCGCAATTCCAAAGCAGTTTTTGGCGCCTTCTATGAGATGATTTATCATAGCATCATGAGATACAAAGTGAGTAGAGTTTCATATTCGAGGTATGGAGATGTGTTTTTAACAGGGTCATTCTAAATGCCAGCTTTTCCCTCAGATGAGCAGGAGGCTCTATGGATTGTAAGCATATGTCTTCAAAAGTGAAGAGGAACAACACAGTCATGATGAGCACTCTACTGAAAGAAAATGACACTGTGGTGCACTAAATCAGGGTGTGATTAAAAAAAAAAAACACACACACTCACACAACATAGCTGCCACACGGTTTGGGTTCCAACAGCGTTTATTCTAGCTTCCTTCAAGTGCTACTTTTCCAAGCCTGTAAGTCATTCAGCCCACATTCCTCATGTCTCTCACCCACATTTCCCATGTTTCTCAAGAAAACAATACTACAAATTGACTTCAATTATGACTACAGAAGCCAGTTGCACAAAGGGCATACGCCTAGTTGTGAGTTGAAGTTCATAACTTTCTGGGCACAGAATTAAGATCAGCATAAGTTGCAGCAATTGGTTGTAAGTTGAATTTTCACTAAGACTGGCTGCAAATATTATGCCTAGCTGGCGTTACGCTGTCTAGTTTCAGACCATACAGTTCTATTCAGTTCTGAGCTCTAGTGCCCAGTGAGCACCCTTAATGTCTGGTTGAGTCTCACTCTAAATGAACTACATTAATTGAAGCAGATAAGGCTCCGTTCCATTCCTGTTTAACGGCTCTCACACTTTCTCTGTCTCCTGGATGCACGCACCCAGATTTTCAGTTGTGGGGCGGATGCGCTCTGCAGCAGGCAGAACAAATAGCAGACTGGAAAATGTATTTGTATGTAACACCTAATGAGCTTAACCTATAATGTTCATGTATTATTAATGTATTTTCTTCAAGAATGAAGAAAAATGAAAATAACAAACAAAATAAACCTTAAAAATATCCTTAACCAATTTACCCCCCCCTTTATTAAGACTACAAAATCTGCCTCAAACAAGGGTGCACTCTCTGTATTCCTCATGTTGGTACTTTTTAATGTTCAGAGTACAAACAATAAAGCAAGTGAAACAAGCTAACTAGCTTAACGCTATAGTTAGCTCGTTCATTCTTAAGAATGTTTCAGAAACACCTTTCAATTTAGTTTTGTCAGCTGTTCGCTACTTTAAATTATTTGTTCGAAAGAGAAAAGGGATTTGGCTTGTTTGCCAACAGGATATGAAAAAGTTTAGCTTACAAAATCCTGGCCAGCCGACTAAAACGTGACGCAAAAATTTACAGTCTTTGGTTATACGGCCAATATTGACCATAACAGAGGAGCTAGCGTTTTTTAAAACAAAGGGGATACCAGCTGCAAACGAGGTCACAGCACAAAAAATGGACAAGAAAGTAGCTTCAGGCAATTTCAGACAGACGTATTAATTCAGCAGCTTGTTGGAACAGCTGTGGACGAAATTCATAACGCTGCTCAATGGCGAGTGCATGTATGAATGTATTTTTAACGTTATTTTTGTTTGCAGCGGATAACAAGTGTTCTTTTCGCATATTTTTTAGTGGACATGATGGCATTTCATTTTGCTCAAATCCAAGGTCTTCTCTCAAACACAGTGCTAATTCTCACCACACTACTTTTACTACAATTCTATTGTGTGCTCAGTGACAGTCTGTTCAGCTTTTTTTTTATCCATTGCATATTTAATTTTATCACCTGCAGTGTATTCGTCACTGATATGACAGACATCTACATGCTTAAATGGAGTTTTTGGGGCACTTTTTGGCCATGATAACTTATGATACACATATGGGGCTAACGGCATACATGTTTGTTGTACAATGTTGACGAGCACATCGTCACTCTCTCCTTTGAGCTCTGCCTTCATGTGGCGTTGGATTGGTTTATAAATTTCACACCCAGTTTGTTCCCACCCTAATTAAGTCTACATTCCCACCAACTTTAGCCCAAAAATTCTCATGGCTGTCCTAAGATGTTCCTAGAACGAAATCACATCTGGTTCTGTGAGACTAGCTAGTTAACTGCTTGGCTAAGTGTTGCTGCACATCGCAGTAGATCCAAGTTGCAGCAGAAGAAAAGTCTCCATTAACTGGCATGTTGGGCAGCAGCACTTTGCCATGTGTATCCACAGTACGTGATTAGCAATTATGCTAATAAAGTGAGCCAAAACATTAAGTGGCAGGTTAGCTACAGCTAGTAGTAGGCACAAGTGTAGCAATTTTGCTTCGCAATGCCGACTGCTTAGAAACTTGCATTATTGCTTATGTTTTCACATGAACATGCACGGCTACTACTTATCTTAGTAATTTCTAGGTGTAACTTGGGTTTTGCAACGAGTATAAAGTCCTCCTTCAAAAATAGTGTTTGCTACGACTGGCTTGGCAGTTAGTCCTGCTTAGGGAAACGGACCCTGAACCCCTTAGATCAAACAAGTGTAAACCTGGTCTTTAAGCACATGACCTACAAACTTAAAAATAGAAGTGTCTATATACATCTTGCATCACAAAAACAGCAACAATGTGGATCATCTAGAGAACCCTGAAGACTGTTTTGAGAACCACTGCTAAACTAGAAGTGGTTCTTATATGGCAATGCTCCACAAAACCCTTTTTAGCACCTTTATTTTCAAGAGCACACCCAAATTTAAATGTTTCCACCTTTCAGATGGTATCTGGGAGGGGCTTAAATGAGGTCTCTTGTCAACTGAAAATAGGTGAGGTGATGATGGTGGCTCTTGTAGCTGTCCCTGGCAGACTTGCCTTAGCCTTCTGCTGATGCCCTTACAAGCGCTTTATTAGGCTCCTTCATTATACACTCGGTCCTGTTTACGCACATTACTGACTTCAGCAGCTTATGAGCCATGTCGACACTAATATTTTCATCAGGGCAAGGCACCCATATCAAAGTGAATGATAAATGTCAGGTGTTGCTTTTAAGCTAAAATGGCCTTGTTTTATAGAGGCTGCACCCTTGAGAAAGAGAGCAAGAGAAAGAGAGAGAGGGCGTGCAGAGGGCCTGACCAAAACACCAATGAGAAACTTTATTTACACCACAAGGATCAACACTACAAGTCCCTGCTATTCATGATAACTTGGTGAGAAATTACCACTTGGGGAAGGAATGTGACCTCTTTTTCTACCCAGAAGACAGCTGGATTCTGTCTTTTTCCCTCTTCTGCACCCTTCTGTTAACCCATTCCTCTAATCCTCTAACACAGAAAATGATGGCGACAGTATTCATTGAAAGGAATTCCTCACATTCCTCCATTCTGAGAACTGCCATTTGAAAATGCCTTTGCCAAAAGAACACTGACATAATGAATGAGTGATGTATAAATCATGATAATCCAGTTACAGAGTAAACAATGTGTTTTGGTACTGTTTACCAAAGACAAAAAGTCTGGGCCACATGTTAGGTTTTCAAGTTGGTGAGAAACAACATTCTATACTGATGATAGATTGATAGATAGATAGACAGACATACAGACAGATAGATACTAAGGTCTTTTCTCCTCAGTGGACAACAGCCAAAAAAATAGTTTGTCAAAGAAATATATGTTCACTGTTTCTGCTCCTAGTTAGCATAATCTAGAGTAGTTAACCAAAAACATCTGCGCTAACACTTAAACCCTGCTACATAACATTGATATAATCATGCCATAAACATGTCACAGGAGGTGTCATATGCTATCACGACATATTTTGTTTAGTAATATACCAGCGTCATGTTACCATTACTGGTAACTGTCATGACACACGTCATAATGTTTGATGTCTTGACATGCTAAACTGTACTCTAGTTAGCAGCCATGACAAACATTACAACAGCATTACAACAAACGTCATGGCTTTTACTGGTATTGGTAACATGATACATTCATATTAACGAACATAATTTGTCCATTAATATAACATGACATGTTCATGGCATGGTTATGTGAAGTGTTACCAAATAAGTGCCACGGTCAGCTGGCTGCACCATCTCTGCCTTCTCAGAAACATCCTTAACAATAAGTACTTGGCTAAGTGCTCACGTTAAGGGTCTCATGTTTTATAGTAGCGAAATGGATTATAATTTATATACTCACAAATATGAGCAGAACAGTCATATTTTACAGCCTTTTTCCTGCAGTTACTGCTGAACTGCTGGCCTGTATATTTCTTTCGTCTTCCCTTAAAGAAACACTCCAATGAAGTTTCTGAGTACCCATACACATCCCTTATGTCGGGTCCAGATCATGGAGAGCAGCATAGGAAAGGTTTGTGTGTGCGTGAGTATGAGGGGGTCACCTGAGAGTTCGCCAGCTCCTGAGACAGCTCCTGTATTCTCTTCTGCTGCTGGACCAACAGTTCCTGCACTGAGGCTAAAGTCGTCTGCAACTGGGTCACTGCAGTTAAAAAGACAGACAGACAGACAGACAGACAGATAGATACACAGCTATCTTCATCAGTCATTCCATACACGATTAGTGCAAATTAATAATGCTTATTTTCTATATATACTGGCTTTCTCAATACCAAGGTCATGGTACAGAAGCATTATAAACAAAACCAGAACAAAAACAGAAACATCAGCAATTACAACTAATTACCCCAAAACAGAGGCATTAGTAACAAAATGAACAAGAACAATGTCAACAGAAGTGAGAAAAAAACTGTCTGCGGTATAAATGGTTTGTGGTGTACTCTGAAAACCACAAAGCTCTGCCCCCCAGCAATGTCCAAACTGAACTTAGGAATAGAAATTAAAACCGGAAAACCAGATAAAAATACGTTCAAATATTCTCCACCCCAGAATATTTTTGCTCACGTTGCTCATAGATTTCTGTCTGGCTCTGCTTTCCTCTCAGTCAGTAATAGAAGACGACTACATTTGTTCATGATTAATCACCAGTGTCTGATCTTGTATCAGCCCACCGTCTCTAAACCTCCATTAGCATGGGTTAGTCTCTCTCAAACTCTCCAAACAATCAACAAGACGGAGAAAAAAAATCCCCTCATTTGGGAGCCTGCGGAGGAGGCTAGACAAAGTGTCCTCACTAATCTGAGTAAATATAGCTCATTTTCCATCGACTCCGAAGATTGTATTATTGCCAGGTTGAGACAGTCCCGAGGATCAGAGAAAGCCCAGGAAAAACAGCGCTAACAGGCCAAGAGTTGGTATTATTAATGGGGGTATCATTTCAAATAACCCAGAGCACAAGTTGCTCTCCCCCTGCTTCCAGTCACACATGCATTCCCAAACAATGCATTAAGTTTCCAAACTGATTATGTTACAGAAAACCAATAAACGCCTCTATAAATCATGCTCTGTAAAGTGTTAAATCAACTCTAATTGGATTAACATCAACAGATATTATTAGCTGCCGACTGTTGGCTCTCCGCTGCATGGTTATAGGGCTTCCCTCTCACAGAAACAGCTTTTCAACACACAAGTTGGGGCACATTACATGTGTTCTTTCCCCGCTACTTGCTCCTCGACACGGCTCTGCCACTGACGTGCGAAAAGAACGGAGATAAAAATGAAAGGGCATTAATGCAAAAGAGTCTGCAAGTCTCACAGACAACTCTATAAAGAGTCCCTCTAGATGCTGATGAGAATAAATTAGCGTGCATATCACTTGACTATGCTGGATAGCAATCTCCTGATTGCAAACCACCTGACGGTTCAACTGGACCTACTTATCACAGAGTGAGCATTATTGCTGATGAATTCTTGGACTGTGGGAATTTATTGTGTAGAGGATAATGGACTTTCTCTGTATATCAATGTGAGTTTAGTACCTTGTGGCTGCCAACAGTTTAGGCCTTTGTAATATGAGTGGGCGATATGGTAAAAATACAAAACTGCAATAGGCAAAGACATATATCTCCGTGATATGCATTATTATATTAACGTTTTCTGAGATTGGAATGAGCAATACGAACATGAACAACACAATGGCCACAGTTAATATATGGATAGCCATGTCAGTCAAACTTGATACTGAAATTTGTAAGGGATTATTTGAAAATATTAAAAAAAAAATGACAATCAATTAATTTTAAAAAATTACAGACTATGATGTGCAGCAGCCAATTATTGTACTATACTAAACCCAGTCAACAAATCCACAGTAGATGATGTGGCTTAAAATGTATACCGAGAAAGGCAGCCACTCTGAAGTCTTCAAGAGACAGACAACAGCCAATCACCTGATTTCAGCTAACTTACTAGCTGAATTTGTCACTCCCTCTCTCTAAACCCCAAAACAGCAAGCTAGTGATCAAGTCACTAAATGATCTTTTTATTCCACTAAATCTTTATAAGTAGAGTGTAAACTGACTGTAAAATGTTGTTTACCGGCGCTTTTCCTGCAGCACTTCCTATGCACTACAGCTGCGCTTTGTACTATCTGCAGTGCGGCGCTAAGCTTCTCAGTGTGCGGTGCCTTTTAGACAGCTGCAGTAGTCTTTCCATGCTTTCTTCTATGAATTAAAACGACAAGAAACTCTGAACAAAATATAAAAAAAACAACTTTGGTGGAGTACAGAGTTCAGACTCTTCATAGCTGTTAAACTGCTTATCAAAAACTCTAATTTGCTATTTGATTTTCAAATTTTCATGATTTTCTAATCATAAATTTTCTAAATGAATTTTCTAAACTAATTTAAAACAGCTATTAGAAACTAAAGGATGCTTTTTAATTTTATTTAAAAAAATAATAAACTCAAAAGTAGTAACCGAAGGAAAAAAATCAATATTGGAAAATGAATTATTACAATAACAAAGAAAAAAAATATTGAAGGGCCCATATGTAAACTTTTCTTGTATTTTATTGTTCTCTCCCTTTATGCCAATTGCGTGGGTTTATGCACCAAAAACAGTCGCAATTAATTTGCACATGATCATTTTCCATCCTCTCTTATTCCCTCAGAATTCAGCAGGTTTTTTTGTTACTGTGCCTTTAAGACTGATAAGACTGATACTGGTACATAGAAAACGATGGTTTGACTTGTTTTTCTTCAGTGTTTTAAAAATCCCAGACACTGCAGACTCGATCTCCACCACCCCTCTTATTACCTTTGTGTGTTAATGTTGATGAAACCTCGTCAGATAAAACATTACAGACTTTGTGGTGAATAATGAGGAGACAGAGCTGAGCGCGTGTCTGTTTATTAGGAGGAATGACGTTAGCGCGGTCAGCTAAAGCATTTGGTAACTAAACAAACAAACTGTGGAGCGGCGACGCTCTGATAAACAGCACGAAGCTCTGACACGATATTCTTAACTTAAAGTTTATCATGTTTTAGTTCTGTTTGACGTCAGTAACGGTTGCTAGCTGTCTGGCTAACTAACTTGTTTTTTTTGATTACGTGTTTACGTTTCAGCTGTGCGCGTATGGTCGGTTGCTAGGTAACGGACATGACAGTTGATTGTCGACGTCATGTCGACAGTTAACTGAATAAGATTGCTAAGATTTCCTAACTGGAGACAAGAAGCTGCAAGATAAGATTCCTAAAATAAGATAAGATTCGTTTCTGTAATACGAATTTGTGAAAAATCTTATCGTGACCGGTCAGATCAAAATAACGTTACTTAAAACTGAAGGACAACTTACCGTTTGAAAAACATATCTGAAATCACTGATAAAACCTGACAAACCTCATAAATAGTTTGCAGCGTTTATCTTAACGCACAAAAAAACATGATTTTTCATGTTGTCCTGGCTACTGCACTTGCGCAAAGCCCCCAAGGCGTAGCACGGGGGCTTTCCGCGCTCAAGCTGCAATATCGGTGACTCTTCACCGCTCGCGGCACAATCAGCAAGCTGATTGGCTCCTTTTCTTAAAAGGCGGGACTTTCTCTACAAACAGACGCCACTGGTGAGCGTTCCCATTCATACTTTAACCAGTGACCGGTCTCCTCATTTATAACGTCTCTGACTAAACACAAACAAACTCAGCTTCAACGTGACAACAGCGAGTAATCCCTAAGGCCGCTGCACACCAGACAACGTCCAAAAATTCAAGACCTTTCTTTTTAAGGAAGGTACACACACTGACATCCCTTAAACAGTGAATGATGACGTAGTAAACAGACGACAAGCATGATGATGATTGAACCTGACTTTCTTTGGCTCTTCCTGACGGCACTATAGCAACGCTCCACTATGTGACGCCGCGCTGGGCAAACGTCTTTATAGTGTCCCCTCTCGCAGAGTTATTCCAGAACTATGAAAAATCATGGAGAGAAACTGAAAAAAAAAACACCCTATCTAGCTCTCTCTAATTACTTGAAAGAGAGAAGTCAAGGCACCTACAGGCTGTCAAAGCTAGGAAGGACTTTTAATTTCAATGTTTTTTTCTGTTTGATTTTATACAGTAGAGACAGAAACCAGGCCTAGTCATGCATGTTGCCATTTTTCTGAATGGAAAGTTATGTTTGTCTACAGACAAAATAAAGAGTTCATTGTTTAAAGGGTGATGTGTTTTTATTTTTTCTTAAACATAAAGATATCAAAACCATACCGTTACCGGGTCCAAAAACTGTGATACCGAACCGTGGGCACCTGTACCATTTCGTCCCTATTACAGAGTCAGCCAGTTATGCTAATATCTTTTCAATAAAAAATTAAAACGATAATAACAAAACTGGCTAACCACTAAAAAATTGCTTGTTATTATGCAGTTTAACTATATACTGATTATTGATCACAGACTATATAATTGGTCTAAATCTCTTATGATAAATGTAGCTGTTCAGTGTCTTAGAAATACATTTATTTTGATGACGAGCGGCAACTGCTTAGAAACTGCCCACACTATGAGCTCAGAAGCAGAATGTGAGTGATAATGTTGCCATTCACACTATGTTGGTTGAGACAAGCCCTGTCTTTGTAGAAAGTGAGTGGGTGAATCTGAGAAGCTGCAAGTGGTCTCCCAGCTGGTGTGAGGAACCGCACAGTGTGTGTTGTGTAAATTATTCAGTAAATGCCTCTATATACTGTAAACTACACATGTCCAGGCCTCTCTGTTTCCTTAATGGCCAGCTGGTCACCAATATGCTCTCGACTGACAAAGGGGCCAAAGAGGCAGCACAATTCTATTTACAGCCTCTCTGTGCTGCATTGAAGAGCCATTCTTTAATTGTATGGGCAAAAGTTGCAGGGAAATCATAATGGAAGTCGAGGCCTACTCAGAGGAAGAGAGAGAGAGAGAGAGAGAGAGAGAGAGAGAGAGAGAGAGAGAGAGAGAAACAGAGAGAAAGAAATGCAGCCGCATTCAAAGGGACATCCCTTCATTGCGCTCAGCATTGGAGAAATACATGAACTTTAACAAAGGGTGCGGGCAATTGGCAAGAGAGGCAGTCAGTTGCTATTACTCATGTTGTGAGCAGAGGGGGAAACTCGCTCTGTAATTGCAACCCTCTCCCAACTGTTAACTGAAACAGTCATTAACTACAATAGCAGCTTGGCTACTGCAGCCACAGCAAATTAGATCAGCAGTGTGACTGACTGACTAACTGAGGAAAGGTGGGCTGTTTTGAAACAGAGAGGCAGAGAGAGAGAGAGAGAGGAGAGAGAGAGGGGAGAAAAGACAGCGCAAAGAAGCAAAGAGAGACAGGAAGACAGAGAGAAAGACAAAAAAACAGTGATGAGAGAGAGAGAAAAGAGTGAGGAAAAAGAGGGATAGAAAGAGAGAAATAAAAGAGTGAACAAGAAACAGAACACAAAAAAGGGAAAGAGAGAGAGATAAACGAAAAAAGAAATGAGAGAGAATGAGACAAAAGAGAAAGCCAGAGAGAAAAGAGTGAGGAAAAGAGTGAGAAAAAGGGAGAAAGAACAAAAAAGAAAGAGAGGGAGAAAGAAAGCAGTGATAGAAAGAAAGAAAAAACAAAAAAGAAAAAAAAGCGAGGTATAGAAATAGGCGGAAAGTAAAGAGCAAGAGAGTGACAGCGAGGGAAAGACAGGGTGAAGGAAAAAAGAGAAAGAGCAATAAACAAAAAGATCATGACAGGGATGGAACGTGACAAAGAAGAGAGAGAAAAAAGAAAAGGAAAACAGAAAAAAGAGTCAGAAAAGAGCAAAAAACGACAAGAGAGAAAGAAAATAAAAGATGAAAAGATGACTGAAAGAGAACAAGAAAGATAGAAGGATATAGAATGAAAGAAAAAGGGCACAGAGAGTAAGAGACAAAGATGAAGCGGGGAGGGGAGAGAGAGCGAGAGAGAGAGAGAGGGAAAACGAGGTGTGCGTGCTTTTTAAAATTAGAAGGAAATTCAACGTAACATCAATGGCTTTTCTTATCGCTAAAATCTCCAACGTGACCCTAAACAAAGCAGGAATGATGGTAAACCCAAATAGAACAATGACGAGTCAGGTACCATAACACAAAGGAAGGATTTTTTTTTTTTTTGCATATATGAACCAAAATGACAATGAAAGAGCTCATTTGTTAATCAGATAATGAAAGCCACACTAAGCCTGCACGCAATGGCTCACAATTCAGAAGGCTTCCTCAGGCACTCCCCAACCCAGACTACGACAACAGAGATGTACGGGAAGATTAAAATCCACAGATATTAAAACTTAACGATAAACAAAATCTATACTAAAAAAATAATCAGTTCATTAGACACATTGAATTGCAACCCAGCGTGCCTGACATAACGTTTGTAACTGGTAACATCCTCTTTTGGGGAACCCCATTTGCTTATTTTGATCTGCTGGATCATAAAACAACAGCAGGGATAAGAGCGGCACTAGGCACTGTCCAACCGACTGCAGGGCCTGTTTGTCCAGGCACAAATACAATATTTGTTTTTACTGTTCAAAAAGCCAAAAATCAATACTGTTTAGAAACTAGCTTTACTCTAACAAATTCAACCTGGACAATAACAATAGACTTGAGGTCTTATGCAAAGTTGCTAACACAGGTTTTATCAAATTTTCATTTTGCAAACAAATACACATTAAATCAATATGTAAACACATCAATGTGTACATCAATATGTATACCTGCAGCGTCCCTGAAAACAAGCACAGACATATTCTGTCCATCTCACACACTTATTCAACACTGTTCAATTGTTTGGAATCAATGTTTTAAATAATGTCAATTTAATTAGTAGGTAACTAGAAACCTGTAAAAATAAATAAGTGATGTCCAAAACGATAAAACTCAAGTCAGATAAATTGACAAGAACATGAACGTCAACAGATAATTACAATAGAAGGAAAGATGCAGAAAAACGTTCCACTTAAAAACGCTGCCCATTTACTGTAAAGCTAAACCATATCTGTGCAGGATGATGATGTGTAAACCTACGCAGACTAAGAGGAAATAAACTGGAACAGCAGTCAGGTTTGATTTTTGTTTGTATAACACAAATCTTTAAAAGGGGCATCTTGCTTCTGGGGTTAAAACCTCCCTGGTGAATTTTCTATCAACTTGCCATGTAGACTTAGAAGTAGATATTTTTCTGGTCTTTGCACTTTTCAAGTACAATACTAAAAATATTAGATTTTAAATTAAATGGAGGCCTCTGTCAAATTGGTCCTAACTTAATTTTAATAAAAAAGCCATAACAAAAGACAAAGACAAAGCCTTTCTTATCAAATGCCATTAAAACCAATGACTGCAAAATAGAACCATTTGAAATGTCAGTTTTGCTCAATAATGAAATATGTTTAACTGTGTTTATATTAATTATACAATAATATTATGTGATGTCACTGTGCTGAGCAACAAAATCCACATATACTCATTTTAAGCAAGATTTAAAAAATATTGCCTAGTTCAGGGGTCGGCAACCCAAATGTTAAGAAGAGCCACTTTGCCCTTTCAACAAAAAATCTAACCACCTTGGGAGCCACAACATGTTATGTTCCTTTTACCATGTTGGCTGTAGATATGTCTCAGTATGTGCTAAAGTGTTAGTATAGGATAAAAATATAATATAAAACATACAAAATACAAAAACGCAGACTTACTTTGCTCTGCTTTAAGCTTTAGCTCAGCTACAGCTGCTTTTCTCACATCTCTGACAGGAAACTTTTCCGCAAAAGTAGAACAGTTTCCTCACAAAACGTCTCTCAATGTTCAACTTTTTATGAGACTGATGTGAGCTTCTCATTCGCCAGCTTCTTGTTCGAATTTTCCCGTTCCACCTTAAGTGGTGCCTGAAGTACCACAATGTAACTGCGGCACTATTTAAGGTGTAACGGAAAAGTTCAAACAAGAAGCTGGTGAACGAGAAGCTGACTACAGCTTCGGCATTTTTTAGTGTTTGACAGTTTCTTGTTGCAGACTGAACGCATCAGGAAACCAGTTGGAGTGATTATAAATGAAAAGTCCGATCGTCTTCAAATTATTGATGTTCGTCTTAAATCTTGTCTTTGCCCTTGTGTTAGCTACTAGCTAGGCGAGACCGTTGTCTGTGCTGCTATGGTGATAAGCAGTCTGCAAGCCAACTATCTATAAGGTCTGTGATTTATTGTTAAAATGGTGTTAGAATGATCAGCAGAGCTTTATTTTACTGCAAAAAGGATTATTTTATTTTTCTAAAAATCTAATAGTTCTATAAAGTCACAACAAGGCAGTGAAAGAGCCACATGTTGCCGACCCCTGCCCTAGTTCTGGCTAATGAATCCTATAATCAGCAAGCATTCAACATTATTGCTAGCTAGTTACTGAACAACAAACAAATAGGTGTCTTTATAATAAAAATCTAAGGAAATAACATCCCGGGGTCAAAACATTTAAGGGGTCCTTCTGCTCCCTATCTGACAAAGAAAATAAGAGGCATGGGGAGATGGATGGTTAACCATGAGGGGCTTCTCCACAAGTTACCTAATTAAAATCCACAATGTATAAGTTAAAACTGTATATAAAGTAACAAAAAATGATAATATCGCAAGTGATTCCCAACCTTTGAAGTCTCCCTTCACACTCAGAAGCATAGCAGAGCTGCAGAGCGAACAACACACTGACAAAACTAAAGTTTCTCAGGGAAGTGTCCCGCTTTCATGGTTGCTGGCTTGTTTAATTACGGCAGTGAGAAGCGAGGGGGGGGGTTCCTCTGACAGCCCAGCTCAGATTCCTCACCTGTCTAAGGCACATGACGCACCTGTCACTGCACACTTAATCACCGGCCTGCACGGGCTCCAGCCAGGGAGCCACACCACCATGGCGAAAATTAAAATGAACTTTCTAACCACGCAGTTAGAAAGAATACAAAAAAAAAGAAAGAAGCGCTGTCATTCCCCTTCCCCTCATTAATATTCCGAGGTTAAGAGCTTTTCAGCGAAACGTAATTAATTGAGGCTGAGCTGACAGTAAACAAGCAATTTCAAATTAAAGCGAAATGACAGGACCGTCATTTGTAAAATGTGAGCAGATTTTGGCGACAGATAAATGAAGGAAAATGTTAAGGAGGAAAAAGTGATGAAGATATTAATCTTCACCTGTCTGTGTCAGCGTGCCACTCATCTCGATGATGCTGCTCTCGATCCTCTGCAGATGCTTCTTGTCCTCTTTGCTGCCCATAATGAGGGGAAGGATGTATTTCTGCAATTAAAAACATGACACGCTATTAGAATTCCTCTCAGGAACAGGGAAAACAGGGCCACAGGCGAGGGCATGTTTAGCAGCCACACGCCCACAAAGGGACACAGATCTGCTGCTTTTCTCTAAATGGGAACGAACAGAAAACCAACACGGACTCTCTCTGGGTTCAGCAAACCGGATGGAACCCATGGTTGATTTACAACGGATGCATTAGTAACAGCAGTAAATGTGAAATGTGAAATCTTTTTTTGTTTCATTTAAAATCATCTCAGTGGTATACAGGAGCATGTTTAGCGGAAGCTATGCATTCAGAAGCATAATTAACATTCTTACGACCACATTTAAAAAAGCTAAACTTTTTTTTCCCCTCCTTTACACTCTCTCTCTGGAAAGTCTTGTGGTTTACTCACTTCATCCAGTGCAATTTAACTCAATAGCTGACGCATGGGCCAAGAATTAAGCAATGGGGCGTGACTTTGGGTTCAACTTCATTAAGCCTTTTTGCCCACAGCCTGGCTTCTCAATTCCAACGTGTCACCTTGTGAGGACAATTGCTTGTCAGACTTAAGCCTTGTTCAACAACACACTCGTACATACAGACTGAGCAGCTAGGTCGGAGGGCTAACACAGCCTGAACCTGAGACGCCGACTGCTGATTTCATCCTTCTCACACTTTTTAAACGTACTGTATACATAAGGCTCCTTCCAAAGTAAACATGGCCTGCTGAGTAACAATAGCCTCATCAGAGCTGGATACGCTACCATTCAAAAGGAATCATCACTCAAATGTTTGTAATCACTCTTTCCAATAATATAATACTAGTGCAGATACAGAACAGTGTAAATGTCAGAAAGCATTCTTCAGTTACCTCCAGTCAAAATTCAAATTAAGTAAATTATTCATTTGTCAGCATCAAGCGAAAAAAGGAAGGAAACCTATACAGAATATTACACAGAAGCCTCAGCAAGTAAATATACCTATAACCGTTTCAGTATTCAGTGTGTCCTCACTTTGCCTTTATTACAGTTTCCTTTATTATTGCTTTCAGTTTTTCAGAGAAATCTGCAGAGATATTTTTGCACACCTACAAAGTTCTACAAAGTCTTAGAAGTTGGTTGCATTTTCCGCTTCTCAGTATCCAAGTAATTCTTAACACATTTAGTGATGTTGAGGTATGGACTCTAGGGTGTTCAGTCCATTGTTTGAGAACAGCAGCAGCTTCTTTGTCTGATTTGCAGCTTTTCCTTTTTCTATTTCATTTTCATGACTTTTTGACAGCTACACATCCTTAAGCTTGATTTTCTCCACTCTCCAAGATTAAAGCTTTAAGTGCTGTTTATCTAATGTTGATAGTTTTGGTGGTTTACCAGGTGTCATATGGTTGTTATGAGTCCCATTTTCTCAATAATTTTAAATCCTCTTATTTAAGAAATTGAATAAACAAAGTATGGTCTCTAACTTTTGCACAGTACTGTATTTTATGTCACCAATAGACCTTTCACAAATGGGCATATTCACATATTTATCTCTTTTTATACCGAAGCTCTTTATATATCTTTTTATTTTGCTTTTGTCTTATTTGCCTTAAAATGTCGAATTTTCTCTTTGATATTTGGTAATAGTTTGCGTACTTGGTTTTACTGAATAGGCACAATAGGATGTTTTTCTTTAAAAACTTTAAAATTACCACATTTAATTGAAGCTTTTCACTTAATGAAAATGTGAATCTGAAAGCATAACACATTTTGCTTCAGTACTGGGTCATAGTTCGGAGTGAAACACTATCACGGAGGGGCTCTGAACTAGTTTAGCATTTTTGCTCAGTGACTCAGTGGGAGTGGTGGGGGGCAGCTGCAAACATGATATTTTCAGCTAATTTTTTTCTTCCCTGTGTGCTGTTACCACAGAGGCGTGCCACTACACTTCACTACAAAGTCACTACACGTTTATTAAAGATCGCAGGACACAAGAATTTTATCACTGAAATGGTTTGGTATGATGAATTGTGCTTAATGTGACCAGGGACATGAACCAACAAGATAAAAAAGGTAAATTTCAATTTGAGGTTTCAGGTTGAATTAAAGTGCATCATCATTACGAGTGATGGAGGAGGAGGTGAGGAGAATTTGGGAGCCAAACTTTGTTCTTAAAGTTAGAACAAATCCATTTTATTGTAAACAAGACATTCTTGTTACTGTATTTGTTTATTTGCATTTATTCTAATGATATATTGTGTTTTTACAAGCACAAACACACTTACTGACAAGATTAATGGTTTCAAATCAAAGTGCTTATGTGCCGAAGACTTTTGCACGGTACTGTACTCACTGAAATAAAACTGATTCTGATTTTTAAAACTCAAATTTTGAGTAAAATGTTTAAAATATCTTCTGGTGTATAGCTTTAAACATTTCAGTCTACATTGTAGAAATTATATGGAATAAAACAACAAGACTATAATAAGACTAGTGATTTTGAAAGCTTTTGAAAGGTAGTATATATCCCTGTCAGGCCTGTCTGGAGGACAGGAACAGTTGGCCTGGCCAGGTTTTCACAGCAGCGCAAGCGTTGTTGACACCAGCAGAAGTAATAAACACTTTTAAGTTGAAAAAGATTAAATGAGTGTCAGTGGCAGGGTAATTAATAAGAGGGCTGCTGTGAGCGGTGTTTACTCCGTGCTCTATAGCATAAATAAAGGATGGGCCGAACGCGGGGCATATGGAGGCAGCTCCTGTGACATGACAGCAGTGAGAGCACTCGCACTAGGGAATAACACGCCTGCAGCCACACACACCCACCCTGCACAGCCGAGAGACTGACAGCAGACAGCACAGCCACAGACTGGGAGAGGAGACAGGGGAAAAACAGACAACTAAAATACACACCACTCTTTACAAGGCTGAAGTCACTGTTTTTAGCAACATAAAACACTGTGTTGCAGGTACATGTATATAATGACTTTAATATGATGCTAGTACTCTCCAACTTCATACATTTCAAATAATATGTAGTAATCATAAGAAGTTTTCGAATGAAGAAGCTGTAAAAAACTTAGAATTAAATAATTATAAAATTAACATCCAGGAAGTTAAAATTCAGTGATTAAAGGTATGCGAGGTAGATAGGTTAACACAGATTTATTCTAAACAGATACACAGTATAACTTTTAATTGCTCCCCAAAAAACTTGAAATGTCAATTAAAACATCTAAAAACTACCTTCTGATGTGAAATTTGTATTACTTCAGTCAAAACTGTATGGGTTTCTGCATGAGTTTCTGCATAATTCAATCCTTAGGATAATCAAGGATAAAGTCATTCACAGTGGTTTGATGTAAAATGGTTCACTATAACGAAATGTACTGACTAAATCACTTCACGATTTAATTATGAAGACATTTAGGTGGAATTCCCCTTTAATGTGACAATCAGGGTAGGTAATATGAACTACAATTTATATCACAAACAATATCAATATAACATCACAGTACAGGCAAATATAATAAATTAATTAATAATTATCATTTTCATCCATCCATCTTCTAAGCCGCTTATCCTTCTGCAGCCTATCCCAGCGTTCATCGGGCGGAAGGCATGACCCTGGATAGGTCATTGTTTTTACAATAGAATACAATTTTATAAGCTCTTTAAAGATTAACGCTTCCTTCTTAACCTAATAAGATCTAACACTGTGAGACAACTAGAACACTGCATAAATGCTACTAGGAAATACTATTGTATGAGTAATAATTGTTGCATACACTAGTTCTTTGTTTTCTCCTACAAACTCTCCTCTTGTTTTACCTCCTCTCTAATTCTCAGTTTTACTTTGTAGCTGGTCACTAAAATAATTCAATTTGATGTAGCTAACAAAGCCAGATAGCTTTTTCACATTCGCTCTTTTGACAATAGACAATGTTACATTAGTTTTGTTCAACAGAGAGCAACAAAAGAGAAAAAGAAAGTTATAACAAATAAAAATATGACACACTCTGGCCAGGAAAGTATGTTTCGGTGATGCTTTTATTTTTACACCTGAGTGAAGGGGGCGGGTTTTGCTTGCTTTTTGTGGCAAGCGTCAAAAGAGTTTGAGGCCATCATAAAAGGCTACACAAATTAAACTTTTACAGATGGCTGCGGAACTAGACATGACTTCTGGACGGAAAACTCAGATTTCCTTTGTCGTGTGGAAAAAGTGGCTTTCACTGTGGAGTCGTCCCCAAACAGAGTTTAACCCTCACATTAATAATGTGGGTGCCGTAGCTGCAGGACCATGAGCACAGAACTTTATAGGGCTGTGTGTATGCTGACAGCAGCAGAGCGGTGGCTGACTGAAGTGGCCGTGCTGGAGGCAGCTCAGAGCAGTCGCTGCACAGACTGACGCCAAACCCACCCACTGGCCAGAACACAGCCGACCTGCCCTCCGCTTCCACACACACACACATACATACAAGTCTGTTTCTATACTGTGTCAGGACACGGGGTCTTTATGTATGTCCCATTTGAATTATGTACTGTATATGTACACTACTGTGCAGTAGTCAGAGACCACCCTCGAAAAAAATTATATCTGTAAAACATTTGTTTTCAGGCTTTCAAAAAAATCTGCAAAGATGTTTTTCTACACTTCCAAGTTCAGTCTCAAAAGTTGGTTGCATTTACTGATTCTCACAGTTCAAGTAATCCCTAACACATTTCAGTGATGTTCAGGTGTGGACTCTAGAGTGGACGAGTCATTATTCAACACCAGCAGCTTCATTGTTTATTTCCTTTTTTCTCGCAGCAGAAGGACGGACAGAAACACCTGTGTTTTTTTTCAGATCTAAAACAAGAGTGGAGCTTAATTTTATTCTGTTTCTCAAAGATGAAGGCTTTAAGTACTGTTCATCAGGTCTTGTGTGGTTGTTAGTAGTCATGTTTTCTCTATATATTTTAAGATTTAAGATTAAGATTTTCAATGAAATCAGAGCTCCTTATTTTCCTTTTCCTCTTCCTTATGTAAATGGATTTTCTTAAATCTAATCTCATTAGAAGTTTCTTCTAAAAAAATTAATAACTTGTTCTTGATGACCATTTTGACTGGAAATTAAGTAAATGAACTGTGGTTTTTGACTTCTGCCCAGTAACTGTATGCAATGCGCCCCATTTGTATTATAGATAAAAACGTAATAAGCCTTCCAGTTTTAAAAATGAAACATGTAGCGTTTGTAAAAAACCTTCAGGACCATTTTGTTCATCCTAACAAGGCAGGTTTCCCCTGTTGTCTGTCAGTAAATTTTGTCCTGAAAATGCACAAAAACACACACACAGGCACACACGCCCCCCTCCAACATGCATACAGTCATGCACTCCTAAGCATGACATCATGGGAGTAGTAGAACCTAGCACTGCTCGCTGTGGAAGGGCCTGGGCCCTGTGCTCCTCCACCTATAAAAGCCAGTAATGGAGTCCACATGCCCCTGTGGCTGGTGTGGGATTACGGTTCCTCGGTAACAGGGTCTCCCCTCAGTGAACAGGCCTGGGCCGGTGTTTTGAAGGGCTGAAATCAAAGAGCCTGGCTTTGGGTTTTTCCGAACAAGAAAAGTGAAATGAAGAGAAAAGGACTGGAGATGAGCTCATGCTCATGATGCAAAGTAGACTGGCTGTAAGAAGACAGGGTGATCTACACACACAGCCCAGCCTCGCCATAAAATAACCACAAACTCCACTAAAACAGGAGCTGCGCCAGAGACCCTTGGCGCTGTGTTTTCCGAAATGAAATATTATGAAAAAAAAGAAAGCTAGAATCTGCAGACAGGGCGGATTAGATATTAAAAAAGATCATAAACTGGGAAACATTTTAGGGCATGCGGGAACTTACCCGGTACAGGTGATGGAAGCCAAAGGCCATTCCTGCCATGATGATGGCCAGGGCACCATAGTCTCTCCATCTGTAACCAGGGGGACCTGCAGAGAAACACACAAACACAGCAGACACTGACAAGAGCTGCCGTCAGCATACAAACAGCAGCACAGGACTAGAAGTTCTGTGTAATATATACTCTGTTGATTTTTTCAGTAGACGTGCTAGTTGTTCAGAGAAATCTGCAGGGATATTTTTGCACACCTCCAAAGTTCAGTCTCAGAAGTTTTTGCATTTTCTGTTTCTCAATATCAAAGAAATCACAGACAGATTTAGTGATGTTGAGATCTGGACTCTTGGGTGGTCAGTCCATTGTTCTGAAAAAATCAGCAGCTTCCTTGTTAGAAATGGGAATTTTCTTTCTTTTTTTTAGTATTTTCTTTTCTCAATAATGGCTTCATCCTTCTTTATAAAAGTTGACCATCTTGTATCTAATTTCCTCAAAACATCTCCTAAAAATGAATAACTTGTATGAGCTGTTTTGACTGGAAATTTAAAAAACGAAGAGTGGTCTCTGTCTCTTGCACAGTACTGTGAATAAATGCAGTTTAAAGTTTATTTATATTAATTGTGGTTATTTATTTCTGAAAATGTGGTTAACATCTACTACACTGTGTAAAGTTCTCTTTGGTGTAATTTTAAGAGAAGAAAACAATAAAAGAGTTCAATCAAAACAAGCTACGTCAGGTTTGTATAAAGTATTAATGCTCAGCAAGCATGGGTTCAATAACCTTATTATAACAAACTTAAATATCATCCTATACTGTGAAACACTCATTATATTTGAAAACATGAATTGTGATATACCAGCATCGAGTACCAGCAGCAGTAGGTTGCACTAAGCAGCCTATCTCTATATCTTACACTATCTGCAAGGAAATGACCAGACATAGCTGCACCACTGAATGAAACATTACATGAGTAACAATACAACCGAGATAAAAAGCTAGTTTCACTAAACTATGGGTGAAAAAAGAGACATTCTCTACTGCAGTGAGTAAGCATGGTGGAAAGTCCCTCTTAAAAATGTCTGCAGACCACTTAAAACTGGTAACAAACTGTATGATGATGAGAATTACACAAAACAGCACAGGAATAGCATATTTTCACAACCAGTGTACACAAGCAGCATGGTGAAGCGTGAACTTGCACTGAGGACTATCTATCAGGAAACACACACCACATCAATGACTCCCACATCACCTTCTACTCATTCTCAGAAAGACACACATCTGACCCAGAAAGAAAAAAAATGAGCTCATTGTACGACAAAAAACCTCTTCTGTGTATAGCCAGACTACATACCCAAAAATCCTCACCACATATACTAACATACTCTTCGACATCGATAATTAGTCATTTTTATAGGCATATACTAATGCTTGATTTTAATTTTTAACCTGAAGAAAACTAAAGGCTTACTCTGATGCAGTATATACCATTATTCATTATCTATTAGGACAAAAAAATATATAAAATTATACTTTGCAGGCACTGAACTTGACCTGTAAATTCAACATGAACCATTAAAACAGTCTTTACAGTTTTCAGAACTAGAAAAAAAAGATAAAATAAGAATAGCTGTATATTTAACATCCCTATTATCAAAACTGAAAATAGCTCACAAGCTAATTCAGCTAAGCGTCCTAATGGTTTGTGCTGTTATGACTGAATGGCTAGACTTCTTCTCTAAACGATGCACTTAGTTAACCAGTGTACTGGAGTATTGTTCAAGGTTCAAGCCTATGCTAATTTTGGACTGAGGAACAGAACAGAAAAAACAAAATGAAACATACCAAACTTTAAAAATGCCAATTATAAAATTATAATCATTTTATTGTGATAACTATATAATTACTGTTTTCTCACTCAGACTTCTGAGTGCACATATAATCACGACACGCACAGGTAGAATTTCACAGGGGCTGGATTGTGCTAATTCCACATTTCAGTTACAATGTCCCAACGGCGAGGAAATAAGTAAACTAGGGATGCACAATGATGTCAGTCATTAGCATTGCCAGATGAGTAGAATATGTATCAGCATCGGACAAATGTTTTGATTTGATCGATATTTCAAACTGCTTTTTGATGAAATATTTATTCTCCAACTGAAGAGCAGAATGTTTAGGTGACGCTGCGTTACTACATTAAAACATCTGCTTTTCATTTATTTTACTACACCCTACACAAATGAATGTTTACTGTAATACTAATTCAAGTGGATTTAGTGTCAGATGTAGTGTGAATGTTTACGAATCAGCATCATCAGAAATCGACAGTGTGTATATATATATATATATATATATATATATATATATATATATATATATATATATATATATATAAAATATAAAAGATACCATATATTTATATATTTAGATATAATATACAGATTATAATATATATAGATACTGCCATTAACCCACAGTTCACATATGCATCCCTACAATAAACCACATAAATCACATTTTATCCAGAAGCAGCCATTTCTGCTCATGCCAAGGCAGCTATTTCTGTTGTGGGAAAGCCTTGGCAACAGGTAGAAATTATCATGCAAATAACCGTAGACTAAGCAGAGAAGTAATTAAGGCAAGTCTGGCTGTGGCAGGTCAACATGTCAGATACAAAATGCTCCATTTTGTAACATACTGAGCCAGGGGAACAGGTGTGTTGCAGTAATTTGTCTGAATCTGCTCTACTGAATACAAATAAACGAGCCCTCTAATAGACTTACATGTAAATGTGGTTCTGTTTTTTTTAAGGCTACATTCCATTCTTTGAGAAAAAAATAAGTGGCCACGCTTGAATGCACAGATGACAGTAATTTTTGATGACGTTTCGCGTGATTTGACATGAAAAAAAAGCCAACAGTCATTCACAAAACTGGGTTTGTTTAAAGTTGATTTCAGGTGATGTCCGATGCCCACGGGCACGTCAACAAAATTCCCATCAAAGCCTTCTTTCCCTGTTCTCATTCCTCAGAAAACTATAAACACAACCTTAACTGAACCGTTTGGTATGTTTTACAGGTAACCACTCTTTGCTGCTTTGCTAGAGGAGTTGGTGATAGCTTGTAGGGGATGAATGACAGAAGAGCTCGGGGGACGCTGGGTCCTTGAGTCCCCGACTAGGCTGTCCACTTTGAACAAGTTTCCAAACGGAGTTCCTCCAGCGCCTGAGCGCTGTCTCCTCCTCCACTCCCTACCAGTACTTTTCATTTGGTCACTTAAGGAGTGAGCCTGAGCCCCATTCCCCCTTTTTCCAATCTCCTCTCAAATTTATTGGGTTCAGAGAAGGCCCTACTGTCCTTCTGCTGGCTGAAAATAGAGATCAGAGTATCCATTACTCCGACAGAGATGGATGCAGGTCTCTATGCATCGTCCCCATAACAAGGACATCAAAGAGAGGTAGCCCCCTCTTTTCAGCCTGACCCCCGTACAAGACTCCCCGCTCTCACCTCATTATGCACTTCTCTTATAGCCGTTTTGATATAAAACCCCCCGCAAGAGTCGGCCTGGAGCCTAACTACACGGCCATCCCATCAACAGTGCTTTCATTACAAAACATGAGATGCTGGGGAGTCAAGGACAGTGTGGCAATAAATGAGGGTGGAATACATCTGGAATCATTGTCATACGGGTTAAGCATTACGTGGACTTCATTCTGCATTGGTAAATCAGCGGCCGGCCCGGCACTCATAACCCTGCGAGGTAATAAAGATACAGGTTGGAGCAGGCCCTTTCCCTGACCAACCCTGCTGCCACATGGAGGAGATTGCCATGATGGAGTGGGCACCGTATCACATGGCCCACACCATCACCTGGTGTAGAGGAATTAATTACAGATCCACGCAAATGGGAGGTCACCCACTGCCATAAGCTAACCTAGAACAGAATGATGGGATCCATACAACGGCACACATGGAATGTACATTGTTAAGATTTCAGCATGAAGAGCATACATTTGAAGAGGCTTCTACAACCACTTACGGCTTCAGTGCTCTTTGAACTGACAACGTACAGCAATGTAAACCAGGAACACAAAGCAGTAGCGTTAAGCCTGAGTAAGGCTGTGTTCAAAATATCAATACAGCAATATGTTGTGAGTCAACTCTTTGAAAAATGTGAACCAAGATGGCTATGGGTGTATGGATATATCTGAAGCTATTTCTATACAGAGCATGCAAGTCCTGCTGCAACTGCATTCAATCTGAGAGTGTGATGTTTATGATGTGTAAGTAGGTGGCAAACCTTTGCTCTTACCTTTGTTTTTCACAGTTAAAACACATCCTCACATAGGATGTCAGCTGGCTGACATGCTGGGTACATTTTGTTTAGCATGCAACAATCTGATGAAATCTTCCAGCAAAAAAAACTGTCTGCTCTGGTCTACTGTACCAGACTAGAACCAGTCTAGAACCAGTCTAGAACCAGTCTAGGGTGCTGGGACTGGCTGCACCAACAGGCCTCAACTAAGTCAGTCATGGCTAAGACCAGTTTTCAGGGAGGACTTTACACCCGTTGCACCAACCAAAGTTACCCCTTGGCACAACAAGAACCTGTCTTAGGCCGGCTTTACACTTTCATGCAACTAGGTGCATGCTGTGAGCTGCCTGCAACCTAATTCCAAAGAGTGTAAACAGCTGTTATTTTTAGCTGTTATTTTTAACCCAGCTGGTTACAGATTTGCTAGCTTCAAGCTCTCATCAAAGTCTCATTTATTTCTTGTCATCCCTTGGTTAACAGATTAAAAGAAAAACTAATAACCTCGCATAAAGTTAGTTAGAAGTATCTCCTTTTCGAGTGTCTAAAAGATTGCCTTCTCTTTCACTTTCTTGTTCATTGAGCTGATGTCCTTTGTAATCAATGCTTTGAAATGGTGTCGTTCAACACGATCACGTAATGCATCATCAGTGTTTTGGTTGGAAACTTGTTCCATGAAGTTAACATGCTTGAAACTGAGTTTCAAATGAGCTGCAGGATGCTTTACATTATACAATTCAGGTACAATTTAGTTTCATGTAGGTTTCGAGCACCTAAAATTACATAAAAGTTCCTCTATGTAAAGCCAGCCTTAGTGGTACATGTTCATGTAAACCAAACACATGGAAGAAAATGAGAAAAAAGTATTTCTGACCCTTAACAAACAAAACAACAACTATCCACTTTGGTTTTTAACTACAGTTTTAAATTGCACATTTTTTAGCACGTGAGCTAATTATTTACTGTTGATACACATTGGTGCAACTGTCTTAAATAGCATGGCCTTGGTGTACAACCTGGCAATCTGGTCTGTGTTATATAGTATTGTGATGGTTGCACTGTGATATGTATCATATCAAGAAGCTGTCAATACTCAGGCTGGGACGATAAGCAATTGTGAAAAATTGGTAAATTGTGACAAAATTCATAAATATCAGGTTTTTTAGTGTAACATTCAGTACATGTAGGACAGTTCCATTTGTGCCTGATGGAAGGTGACACGGCCTTTTCATACAGAGTTCTGGACGAAAAAAAGCAAGTTTTGAAAACATACACATTAAAACTAATGGTATCTTTCACACGTGACCTCATTGTTGCTCCTGTGGTTCATTTGCTCCTTTTAATGCTCCAGGATGAAGCAGAGCCTTAGTCTCCCCCCACATAATGCTGCAGCAAAACTTCGGCTAATGTCTGTTATTTTGCAGAAATATCCTGTTGCTCCATATCTGCATCAGTCACACTGGCTGAAAAAAAACCCCAGCAACTTACTACTAGATGAATTCATTTTTTCTTCCTCTTTTTGCGCCTTCCCAAGTGAAAATTCACTGCATTAAAAGTCATATCCTTTTATTCTAGCCAAAAAAAACTGACTCAGTAAACATTAAACTGTAACTGACAGGACAATTTACTGTTGAGTGTGTCAATGAAACAAAATTAGGACTGGAATTTTAGAGTATGGATCATAGTGCAGAATACTAATGCATCCAAAATAGGAAAAATAAAGATCTACACAACCTTTCGATTTCATGGCTGTCATTGATAATTATCGATAAACTTATAAATGGTCTCAGGCCTAGCCAATACTCAGCCCCAGTGATGCATCAGGCTATGTTAGATTGTGAGATTAAAACATCCAGATAGAACAGCACGTTTGGGAAAGAGAGCCAACTACCGGAATGACGAAACAATCGTCCTTTCTTATCCAAACAACAGCAATTATTTACACATCGATTGGTAACGTAATGCTTACTGTAGGGTACAGGAGCCAGCGGAGGGCCCTGGATAATGTGTGGGGGTCCCACTGGTGTCCGAACCAATGCCTCCTCCGTGCTGCCCGAGCGCTGGATGGCCAGCTCCACCTCCTCATCTGTCAGACCTGTGAAGATAGAACAATCAAAACCAACCTCAAGTTACACTGTGTAGGCTAACTTAAATTACTGTGGAGAAGGACACTCAGAAGAACACACAAGATCAAACAGCAAACATGAGTCACCCTCTTAAAAAAAACCGAGGCCCAGTGTAATTAATGAGGAGAGCACATGGGAAACAGCGCTGTTCTTCTCAACATTAGACATCACAACTGCGTGTAACCTGCCCATGAGCAACAGTGCTCTTATAAACTAGGTTAAGCGCACTGAAGGTATTAGGAATAATAACAGGCATCAACTCTAGAGGTCTAAAGTCGGGTCTGCCTGGCACTGCTGAGATCTTCTCCATTACTGGCAGACCTCTACAGTGTGAATAGAACCCGTCCATTTCCAGCTGCCTTATTTCCCCAGGTGGAGCTCTTCGAAACCCCAGACAGATAAAATGCATTATTTTAATTTCTTCATTGTAATGTAAATGTATTACATAATTTTGCAAATGCCAATATAATCTAATCTTCAGATCTTTTTTAATGATTTTAGTCATGATTAAATTGCATAGAGGTCCCTGATGGAAAATGACAGGGGAGGGGAGGAAAAAAAATCTAATTTTAACATTTCCTTTTGTAGGGTGGGGGGGTTTGGAGAAAGGGGGTGGGTTTATTTCCAACACCTCATGCAGCCAGTGGTCTGTGCCTTGTCTTTATTAAGCAATTCGAAAGCAAACAAAGAGCCAAAACTACACGCACCACTGTGTGAAAATGGGAAAAGCCTTGGGAGACCGTCTATTCATACAGCCAAAGCTGAGCTTTGGACATTTAATGAACACATAAACGTGGTGAAAACATTATAGGCTGCCACCACAATTGGCACATAAAAAACAAAACGTCCCCATTTAGAGCTACTGGTTTTTAAAAGGATACAGCCCCTATCAAACTGCGAGTTAAACTATCACTTTTATACATGCTCTGTATAATACTACATCCACTCCCTCGGTGACCTTTGTTTGTCCACAGCAGACCGGAGAGTGTCATTTCTGTCACTGTGCGTTTAGCCACACATCTCTGCGCTCTGCAGCCTCTCTCTCTAGCCTTGGTACGAGTGTTGTTTACTGGAGACGTCCCCCTGGGCATTTCAGCACTCTACTCCACATGCTTTCATGCGACTTTGCTGCCTGCCAGGGAGCCAAAAGGCTGAGCTTTGCTCCAAATTGAGCTGTTTAAAAAGCAGACAGTGAGCTGTTTTTGTGCTGTAATACACATATCATAAATGTGGCAAATGCCAGTGGCACATGTGCTTAAACCGCACAGAAAGAGCTGAGAGCTTGGCAGCGAACAGAGACTTTGCCTGTTTGGCTCTGTCTACTGTCAACTGGGTATGAAATCCAGGACTTGCAAGTACACAGAGTCTCCTGAAATGAAGGCCAACAGTAAAATAATTAATGACTAATATAAAGCAAAGGAAACCCAACAAATACAGGGTGAATTAAAATAATGATAAAACTGGGTGATACTGACAAAACTTATGCTATCGGACGACTTTTGTTTTCATTAAAGTTAATGAACCTCTGCTTCATCGGGGTTGCTGCTTTATGCTAAAGTAATGTCTTACAAATCTGTAAGAGGTTGTTTTGATCAGGTTGTTTTGTTCCTCCAGCTCTTAAAAGTACAACAGGCTATACAACCCTTATAGAGTTGCACAAAGTATCAAACGATCAGTACAATCAGTATTTTACAACATTGCAAATAATTCAATATTCTAATAAGTTTTAATGCTTTACTTAAATAAGTTAGAACCAAGTCGACAGTATTTTGAAGATATTTGTTTTGATAAAAAAGGTTTGTAAAACAAAGACATGTTAATTAAGCTCTAAAAATCTTTTTTGCGTTCACTCCTACAAATATTTGGTGTTAAGACAGCGATGAATGTAACTTTTTGCCAGAGCATTGTTTGGTGTTGAGTATTGTGATACTAAACTTGATATCGGTATCAAAATCAAAATTCTCATATCGTGATAACCCTAGGACCTTATATCATAGGTTTTGTTGATTTTCTAAATTAAAAAAAAAAGTTATTACATCCTCTACAGAGAATCAACTTAAATTTGGCATTTTTCAGTAAACAGTAATTAAACTGTTAAAAGTTAAACTGTGCAGAAGAGTGTTTTTTTGTAGTGGATGCGTCACTTAGAAAACCAACAAAACATGTCATTTGACCAGGGACGCCCAAACTTTTGCATACAACTGAAATACTGCAAACCAGAAAAAGACCAAATTTAGCTACTGGTAAAACTTCAATCAGTATTTTTCACATTAAATCAAAAATGAGTTATGTTTAAAAGCTTTATGATAATTCATAACTTCCAACACAACATGAAATGTAATTTACATCTAAAGAGAATCCAGCACATCGTAGATGAGCGAAGAGCACAACATTCATCTGGGTGAGACAACTAGACTCAAACTGATAAAATATAGTGGAGAATTTAGTTTCCAGGCCTAATTTTGTGAAGGGAAGAGCTCTGCGTATAGCTGTAGACTCATTGGCCATCAGAGGGAGTATTAATGAAATTTATAACTCCACCATTTTCATTAAAATGACCATTTACTCACTTTTATCACTCTTCCAGAAATCTCCAGGTTAAGGTCAAAGGCGCGATTTTTTTAAATCCACCCAACCTGTGAGTGGGGGATGGGGGGGTGTTAGCTCTCAGTGACTAAAACGGTCATGAAAATTGTTGAATAATTTAAGTCAAATATTGGCCACCCTGTCTTGCGTGGCAGTGCGAGTGCCAGGAAGCAGCCGCAGCCATGTGCTGAGCTGGTGCAGTCAGTCTGCACTGTCCAATAAGCAATAATGTGTCCCTGGACTCACCATTCATCTGACCACAGCAGACTGCATGGTGGCAGACTATTGAATGAGACAGAGACCCCCCCCCCATACACACACACACACACACACACACACACACACACACACACACACACACACACACTCCCTTCTCCCTGAGCCAGATCACCTACCGCAGGATAGAGTGAGACAGAGACCCTCCTGGGAAGTTCATATATTAACCTTGGAGTGAGCGGCTTTCTAAAGATATCATAATAAACAAATATGTACATATCCGTAACGTCATTTGAATTCTTAAACAGCACCCTGCGTGAAACTACAAAGGCTTCTGTAGTGCATCAAAATTAGATGCATGCAAATTCATTAACACATTCGCTTTTTCTTGTCGATTTTAGGCTCCGTCAGCTATTTTGTTGCCTCTGATGCCATTATTGTAAAGAAAATGGGACGACAAATAAAAAGGCCTTTGAGATCCAATTTGAAAAGAAAGACAACAAGGTGAGGGTGAATTTTACATATAAAAGGAAAAGGACGCAAATAGAAAATCTGAAATTTATTACGGTTTCCAAAACCTGTAGAACGACCTCCCGGGCCCCCCATTTCGGATCGACCTGCTGGGAGATGAATTTTTTTAAGACATAAATTACATCTAATGATGACACCGTAAAAAAGAACAATAATGGAAAGCTATTCTGTATTTCATTATACTGTATTATTTGGTGCACCTGATACACGCGGCGCCTGTTTATGAGTCACCGTATTAGCACATGCTCAGCCGAAGCATTTGCTTTGACCTTGCCATTCTCATTGGGGCATGAAATTACGGTGGTGGCACCTCGATATTACAGCTATAAATACTGTAAACTGCATATCTGGGCTACGTTTTCTATTGTCTTTCAACATAAACCTGATCGGTATTTATTTAAAGGAAAACCCATTGCTCGTCATGTTATTTACAGCTCTATTTTCTGGGCTCTTATTTTTTTCTGACTGTTTTTCCTTTTGCCTTTTTTTTTTTATTTTATTTTAACGTGATGGGGTGACACGGCCGATCATAAAATGCGGTTCTCCAATTCTGGCACTTCTGAAATTTATAGGTTAAGAACATGCTCGGACAGCCAATTATAAAATTGCTTACTAAAATATTTTGGGTGCTAAAAGGTGAAAGCTGTTTTATTGGCCTGCAAGGCCTGAACGAGCAAACTGCCCTTGAGTGAGTACTACTCACATTTTGAATATAAAAAAAAAGAAAAAAAGTCACGGGTCATAAATAGATAGAGGTCAATAGGCCACAGAGCCACTTTAACCTGTTCTGCACGCAGCTGTTCACAAGACAATTCTGCGTGACAAGTCTGTGTCCCCTATGACGGTGCTGCCGCAGTCCAATCACATGCCCTAAATAATGACCGCTCTCATAGCGTATTCATTTATGTATTAAAAAAAAGGGACTCTTCTCTCATTTCCCTGCTTTATCGCCCTCCGCTGATGACAAAGTGAGAGCGGACCGGGGCTAGGTGGCGCCGTGGAGTAATTTATAACCACATCAATCCCTTTGCCTTCTGCACAGGCCTTGGTCATTGCCATTTTTGTCCAAGAGGTGAGTCGCATAACCTCACTTGCAAACACCGTCCTATTAATATCCAGAATGATGAACCATATCCTTTCCTTCATGGCATGAGTAGTATTATACCTTGGGTGCTCCTGTGTCCCTTGTGACCCCTCAACATAATGAAACGACTACAATGAAGAACACTAGAGAGGTCAGAGATCCAGTAGGCCTGCTAAAATGAAGCAGCCCGAACCTGCTGTACCAAAGTTCACATGGACAACCTTCACAAGAAGGCAACCTTCAAATCTGCAGAGCATATGTCTGGCAGCAAGCAGCAAGAGCAAATCTGCAGCAAGAACAAAGAGATTGAGGGGAATCACTAATGAATGTAATATTAAATCGACTGATTAATAAACAAGGAATTATTTTGATGATTAACTGAGCAAACATTTTACTTCACATACACTCCTGTGCAAAAAAAAGGCTAAGCCCAAAATATTATTTGTTTTTACTAATGGTTGTGGCCTGGTCAGAGTCCAGATTTCAACTTTATATGGAAATAATTTGGTCTGACATTAAAGACAAACTAGTTTGGCAACGTTCTTCATTTTG